GGTTTTTGGCAAGCGCTTGAGCCAGGGTGTCTGGTTCGGGTTGGGTGCTTTTTTCTGCTTTAGTGCCAGTGCTGGCAAAGTCCTGACAGCCATGCAACTGAGTTCGTTTTAGGGTTTAGGGTTTAGGGGTTATGCGACCATGCGGATCATCCGAAAAGGGTTTAGGGTTTAGGGTTGGGGTTGACAGCAGCCCGGCCGTCCTCCACTTGCCTCGCTATTTTTGCTTGAGAGATGGAGGTCCAGGCGGGGGATCATCCAGTTTGTTTTCGCATCCGTAACCCCCGACATTGGCAAATCCGAAATCTCTACACAGATCTACCGATCCCCCTACACCCCAATTCTTCGAACCCCAAAGCCCGAAGATCTAGGCAACGGAAACCCAGAAAGAACCATGACCTCAGGTCCTCTTTTGTTTCTAAGGCTTCAATTGCAGAAGATTAAGATGCAATTTTCATGTGCTGAGCTGCTGAAGTTGCCTGAACAGCGCCCAGGACCCTAAGCCCCAAACCCTGAATCCCTGCATCTGTACACTCTCAACCCATGCCCTAAACCCCAAAAACCCCAAACCCCAAAAACCCAACCCCAAAAAACCCAAAGACCTCCAAAAGCCCCAAAACCCCAACAGCCCCCAAAACCCCCAAAACCCCAAACCCCCTTAAATGCTCAAAACCCTGCAAGATCGCCCAGGATCCCTACGTGACCTTGGCAGCAGAGGACGACGCGCAGGTCAGCGCGTTCCTTCGCAGCATCAGCCGCTCTGCGGCCGCGCCGGGGGCCCCGGAAAGGTGTTTAGGGTTTAGGGTTTAGGGTTTAGGGTTCAGGGTTCAGGGATTGGGGTATATGGGGGTTTGCGAAAATAGGGGGCCTTGAATATAGACCCCCAATGAGTGGGATTCCTTTAGAAGGTACCCCGAATGTCGGAAACCCTCCATATAGTGTATGGGTTTAGAGTGTGAAGCAGGGTATAGGGTTTAGGGTGTGTATGGGTGCATATTCCTCAACTGAAAAGCCCGGATGGGAGAAAAGGTCTGGGATGTAAATGGGGTCCGGGGCTTTGGCTGCGGACAGTAGGCTCGGTTCTCCCGAAGCAGTCATGGAATGTTCTTCATGGTGGCCCCTAAACACATGTTGAACAGCTTGCAGAGGCCCCGGACTTCCTGCAGTAGCAATTTTTGGGAGTTTTGATACATTAGGGGCCGTGAAAACGGACTCCACAAGCAGTAAATAGGGGTTTCTTTGTATAGACCACCCAAAAAACTAAGCACCATTGGCTTCTAGACAACCCCCCCCCCCTTATGCCATCTGAATCTCTCGCTACCTCACCGCAGCTTCCTGGCGCAGGCTAGGTGAAGAGGGTGAAGTGAAGAACAGATCGTGATGTTCTGATGTTCTAGAGTGAGGGCACATCAACCTGACCTGCAGGAAGGAAGGACGGCGTTGTTGAAAAAACCCCCTGCCCCGCCATATTCTTCCCTGATGTAGGATGCAGTTTTGCTCGTGCCGAGGCTCGAGGGGCTCTTGTCCGTTTGCCGTGAGGGAAGCTCCGTGCAAGTGCTCGAGGCTCGCGGCCGCTCGGCCCTTTCTTCAAAGAGCAAAGACGGGGTCCTTCTTCGTGGATCTCTTCTGAATCCCAACTTGAGACTAGGACTACGAGGATTTAAGATCAATCCTTCAGCAAGAGCCCAGGAGAGAGATGTGGGGGCGGGGAGTTGAAAGGATTCTGTAGGGAGGGCCTATTTTTTGGGGTCTTTTTTTTTTTTTTTTTGGCCTTTTTTTTTTTTTTGGTCGATTTTCTTGGTTTTTCCTAAGAAAACCACCATTCCCTCCATATTTTAAAGGATTTGCTGCATTTTCGTGGTTTTTCGTACGAAAAACAGTAATTTCTCTGTGGTTGCATAGGAAAGCGTTATTTCTGGTAGGTTTTAGAAGGAAAGAAGGAAAGAAAGGAAGGAAGGAAGGATGAAAGAAAGGAAGAAAACAAGGAAGGAAGGAAGGAAGGAAGAAAGGAGGGAAGGAAGAAAGGAAGGAAGCAAGGAAGGAAGAAAGGAAGGAAGAAAGGAAGGAAGCAAGGAAGGAAGAAAGGAAGCGTGCTTCGAAGCCCAAGAAACTAGTTGAAAAACATCGTGTGAGCATTGTGTTTGCAAATGGGGGGGGCTGCGCCCCCCCCAAACCCCCGCTTTTTTTAAGCCGTGCAGAGCGTGCTTCAAAGCCCAAGAAACTTGTTGACACCCATCATGTGAGCATTGTGTTTGCAAATGGGGGGGGGGTGTTTGCAAATGGGGGGGGGCTGCGCCCCCCCCAACCCCCCCGCTTTTTTTAAGCCGTACCAAGCGTGCTTCAAAGCCCAAGAAACTAGTTGAAAAACATCGTGTGAGCATTGTGTTTGCAAATGGGGGGGGCTGCGCCCCCCCCAACCCCCCGCTTTTTTTCAGCCGATGCCCAAGAAACTGGTTGAAACGCATCATGTGAGCAGGGTGTTTGCAGAACCCCGCTTCTTTCAAGCTGTACCAAGCGTGCTTCAAAGCCCAAGAAACAAGTTGAAAAGCATCGTGTGAGCATTGTGTTTGCAAATGGGGGGGGCTGCGCCCCCCCCAACCCCCCCGCTTTTTCTTTTTTTTTAAGCCGTGCAGAGCGCGCTTCAAAGCCCAAGAAACTTGTTGACACCCATCATGTGAGCAGGGTGTTTGCAAATGGGGGGGGGCTGCGCCCCCCCCCCAACCCCCCCGCTTTTTTTAAGCCGTACCAAGCGTGCTTCTAAGCCCAAGGGCAGCCCAAGAAACTAGTTGAAAAACATCGTGTGAGCATTGTGTTTGCAAATGGGGGGGGCTGCGCCCCCCCCAACCCCCCCGCTTTTTTTCAGCCAAAGCGCAAGAAAGTAGTTGAAACCCATCATGTGAGCAGGGTGTTTGCAAATGGGGGGCACAGCCCCCCCAACCCCCCCGCTTCTTTTAAGCTGTACCAAGCGTGCTTCAAAGCCCCAGCCCCCCCGCTTTTTTAAGCCGTGCAGAGCGTGCTTCGAAGCCCGAGAAACTTGTTGACACCCATCATGTGAGCAGGGTGTTTGCAAATGGGGGGGGGGGGCTGCGCCCCCCCGCTTCTTTTAAGCCGTACCAAGCGTACTTCAAAGCTCGAGAAACTAGTTGAACAAAAAGTATGAATCCGATGAAAATGTAGAGGGAATGATAGAAGCCAAGAAAACGAACCAAATAGGGTTTTCCCTAGGACAAACTAAGGAAAAGCAACGTACGCTTTGACGTTTGACGAAATCCGTCCAAAATGTAATCAGAAGAGGGTTTCCTTAGGAAAAACCAACGAAAACCTCGTTTTTTTTCAAACCGTGCCGAGCGTGCTTCAAAGCCCAAGAAACTTGTTGACACCCGTCATGTGAGCAGGGTGTTTGCAAATGGGGGAGCGGGGCTGTGTTTTCCCCCAACCCCCCCCGCTTCTTTTAAGTCGTACCAAGCTTGCTTCAAAGCCCAAGAAACTAGTTGAAAAGCATCGTGTGAGACCCCCCCCAACCCCCCCGCTCTTTTTTTTTGGAAGCCGCGCAGAGCGTGCTTCAAAGCCCAAGAGGTGTTTGCAAGTGGGGGGGCTGCGCCCCCCCCCCCCAACCCCCCCCGCTTCTTTTAAGCCGTACCAAGCGTGCTTCAAAGCCCAAGAAACGAAGGAAATGACAGGATATCTGTCCAAAATGTAAGGAAAATAGGGTTTTCCCCCTAGGAAAAACCAAGGAAAACCTAAGGGAAATTACAGGAAATCCGTCCAAAATGTAAAAAAATAGGTTTTTCCCTATGAAAAACCAACGAAAACCTAAGGGAAATGACAGAAAATCCGTCCAAAATGTAAGGAAAGTAGGGTTTTTCCTAGAGAAAACCAAGAAAATCGACCAAAAAAAAAAAAAAAAGGCCCCCCCCCCCCAAAAAAAAAAAGACCCAAAAAAAAACTCCACCCCTTTCAATCTCTCGACCAAGCGCAAATCGAAACCAAAAGTTCTCGAGCACCAAACTCGGGCCCTCGAAACTTTCGAGCTCGAAATCCGGCCTCTCGGCTCAGCGTGCTTGCTCTCCTGCGCGTCAAGACTCGAAGTTGAGACAACGTACTCGCACCCATCCCGCAGCCGTGAGCCAGAATCGCGATCGCAAAAGAAAAGTGCGAGGGCCGCGCTAGCAAACGCCTGAGTCAATGGAATGGACCCTCTCAATTCTTGGAACCCCGACAGCTCAAAAGCCTAAGCAAGCTGGGACGGTTCAGCCAAGGTAAAGAAGCCCGGTCTGGATCCCTTGACCTCCAGCCCTCGCAAGGCACGTTGTATGTCTTGGTGTGAGTGTGAGACAGACCAGTGTGCAGAGGACCCGCACATAGACTGGACAGGCTTGGAAAGAAGGAGCATACCAGATCCTGCCATACTATCATACTTGAGCCACATGAGAGTGGGCGGACCAAGTGGGGTTTTGGATGGCAGGACCTATTCTGTGCGGCTGGTGTACAGCGAGGCATCCGGGCACCACATCGCGCAGAATCTAACATCTGCCGTGGAGTCCTAAGAAATGCGGCCCGTGCAGGTTCAATCGCCAATGCAAAAGGCTTCCGAAGTGGGTGCCCCTAGCAATGCCTGGCATAAGTAGTCCGTGGAGGAGCAAGGGGGGACTGTCAGGATGTGTTCTCCCCAAAAAAGAAGCATTGGGCATGTTCTGCAAGGTGACGGCAGAACGAGCAGCTGTTGTGGAAGGCTCGCTCCGGATCTGTTTGCCACTGCTCTGGCTGTTCAGTTTTCGATTTGCGTCTTGCCGTTATATACTGATACCATAGGCTGACGGCATGTACTTTACTTCAGGTGGAAACCCTGCGTGCTGGAGTGAGCCTTAGAAAGGAGCAGCTTGCATTTTCATGCAGAGGCTTGGTACGTGGTGTAGGGCATGGCATGCGAAAACACGTCCGACACTCGTCCGCTGCGTGCGTTTTTGGTCCAGACACTGTGACCTTCCGCTTTGGTGGTTCACATGGCGTTATGGCTGTTTCTTCTTTGCGCTGTGCCCGTGCAGGGTGCGTTGAAAGATGCGTGCGAGAGCAGCGCGCTGGTTCAGCTGCAAACAGGAGTTGCGAGACGACGAGAGATTGACATAGTGCATATTCTTTCAATGGGCCGTGAGGCATCGTGCTTGGTTTTGAACCTGGCTTCTGGAAACGGCTCTCATCCGACGATCTTCGAGCCACTGAATGGTGTTGTTGAAGGGGAGGCAATTGTGACTATGTCAACTCAGCAAGCAGATTCAACGCTGCAGTGCCTGTACGACTGTCACAGCTGCACGACCGGTGTTATCAACACCGGCTCCATGACCAGTTTACAGGACTATTGTAGCGAGCTGGAGAAGATGCCTGAAAAGATGCCTTACCTGGTTGTGAAGACGACCCGGATCGTAGACCATGGCGCTTTGGTGAGGGCAGTTCCAGCCCAACAATTGACCTCCGCCCGATTCATTGTACTCTTGCGTGACCCACGTGGGGTTTGGGCATCCACGAAACCTAACACAGGCTGGGCTATTCATTCTATTCCTCTGATATGTGAGCTCCTTGCTCTGCAAGCATTGTCGCTGCCGGAGCTTGCAGCGGCAGTCGGCGAGCGGCTTTTGATCAGTGTCTATGAGCAATGGACCTTAGATACCGCTGACTTCGCAGGTCAAGTAGCGCACCTTGTGAACGAGGACGTCGGGGAGTTTCAGCTTCTGGGAAAGGATGCACAGAAAGAAGTCACAGAACTGCTGCCTCCAAAGTGGGTTGCAGACCTGACCAAAGATGAGCTGAACCAGGTGGAAACAGACAAGAATTGCATGGTCTACATGGAAAGAGTGGGCTATGTTGCTGGCTCTTCGGAGACTTCCCAAATCAAGGATCACGCAGGACTCGTCGCAGCGCTCTCGCCGGAGGAGACCGCAGCCCTCGAACAGCTGCGCAGCAAGCAGTCTGTGCTGCAAACTTCGGCAGCTCGGCTCGAGTAGGATGGCCCATGGCTTGCTGTGAAGTGCCGCGGGAGTGAGCCAGCTGAAGCGGCTCCAACTCCTTTAATCCTAACTGACGTGCGCTAAGGTGAGAGATCTTCCGGAGGAGCAGAAGTTCGTGTTCGAGCCTGCGGCAAAGAAGCACAAGTGAAACATGGAGACCAGCTGCTGAAGGCGTTTCACATTGCCACATTGATACCTCTGCTTGCCTCCGCTGGCGCCACAAGTGACAGCTGACCGAGCGACTGTTCAATATGCCGCACCGCCAGACAAAAAGGAATGCTGGCAGCGGTGCTTGAGCCATAGTTGCATCTAGTTTTGTACTTGAGTCTCTTGCGTCGGACTCGCAGGCAGAGCCCATGACACACATGTGCAGCGACAAGTGGGAGTTCAGCACAACATGTGATGCAGGGGCAGGAGCTGACACAGTAGTACTCAGCAGCAGTCTCTGGACTCAACGCAGGCATGCGATGCTTTTTTAGCATCAGCAATGTGCGTCCTGGAGTCCACAAGTGACGACCTTGATGGCGTGGAGCCTCTCGGGACCCCGCCGCTGCTTTGATGGCAAGGATCTGCCACAGCTTGTCGTGGAAGCCGCGGCTGGTGCCAAGACCATCGTGGCTGTGCGCTGTGAAGAGGACGTGCTCCCCGCCGACTCTGCAGACGTGGATGTGGAGGACGTCCTGCACCAACATGCGCACATCCTACAGCTTCGAATCTGGCATCTTTCATCTTGACCTGTCGGCCTTCAGACACCCGCCATCACCCGTCGTAGGGAGATAGCAATGCAGTCAAGTTTGGTCCCTGCAGGACAAGCTGACGTGGCATAGGACTACGCTGACCTATGAGGAACTGGCAGAACGTGTGTGGATCTTGGAGCAAGAGCTGCGGCGCCTTCGCAAGAAGCCCGACAGCACGCTTGACAACGACTTAGTGGCCGTGTGTCTGCAACGAACACCTGCGATGGTAGTCGCCCTCTTGGGCGTACTGGCTGCAGGTGCAGCTTACCTACCCTTGGAGCCCACGCACCCCGGGGCCCGACTTCGGTTTCTGCTCGATGACTCCAAAGCACGGTACCTTGTGACCTGTTGGTGCGCTCGTCGACGCGGCCTCCTTCCAGAGGATCGGCTCGTCAGAGTAACGGCGATGGACGGTGCCAAGGCTGAACTCACAGTACTTGTACATACTTGTACATACTTGTACTCAGTAGCTTTCAGCAGCTGAGTCCAACCCATTGCAAAGGGCAAGAAGTTGCTTCTTGAGCGGGATCGGAAGGTCAGTTGATGAACGCGCAGACCCTCACAAGCAAAGACAGCGTGGAGGATTTCGGGACCAACCTTGACCGTCCTGCCTACTTGATGCCGCCGAGCTGAGACTAACATTATTGTCTAGCCACAATCTGCCGGGCATGCTGCTATGAACCGAGGTGTAGGCGATAGGCGATGCTCAGAATCGATCTCAGCACATCCATGTGGTCTAGGTATACCTCAGGCAGCACGGGAACGCCAAAGGGTCATGGACTTGGCCAAGTCACTTCGCCTCGTGTGTCTTTCAATTGTGTTGTTGTGTTGGCCCACGGTTTTTTCCACGCTTGGCAAGGTGTCCTGGTGCCCCGCCGAGGCGTATTGAGCCATGTCGGCATAATAACGCCGCGCTGAGCAGTGAGTGATTTCGTTGGTGCTTCTCATTCACGGCCGGCTGTTTCGACAAAGATGCTCCAAGGAACGTGCTGCATGCGTTTGATTCAATGATACGAAGATCGGATTCGAAGTGTGCTGGGCGCATGCTAGTTGCTCCGACAACCTACTGCCTGGCGCTCATAGATCAGATGATGCATGGGTGGCACCGTCCAGTCAGCCGAGGTTTCGACATCTCTGTGCTGGAGATTTTTTGGCCATTGTGTTTTGGATTTGCCGTATTCCTGGTGTCCGTGACTGGGATGTTGATTGTACCCTTGCGATGTTGCTGTGCAAGCTTTCTTGACGAAGACTTGTCCAGATTCTATCCCAGGCAAGTACAGCACGCAATGGAGCGAAGCTTTCACGCCTACTTCAACATGAGGCCTCCATCTGGATCTGACCATCTTGCATCTGCCTTGGTTTCATGTTGGCTGCCACCTGGGCAGGAGGCAGATGTGCTTCAAGGCACGCCCGCTTTATGGCGATCCTTGGTAACAGCTGGCTGGAAGGGCCACGAAGGCCCGTGGTCACCCATTTAGTTGTAGTCTGTGACCTGCTCCTGAGCAGGTCTTGCTGGCATCTGTGGTGGGGAGGTGTGGCCTGATCTGCCGATTTGAAATACTCTGAATACATCTGAATACTCTCACGTTTGCTCTCACCTTGCCATAGCATCTGCCGATGGTGCTTTGGCAGGCTTTCCCGCCAAGCCTTGTGAAGCCCTTGTCGGAGGCTGCTGGCGCAGGCCTGCAGAGACAACATGCCCGAATACGCTCGGTTTGCAGCACCTACAGGCTTTGCACGTTCGGCAGCTTGTGCTCCGTTCATGTACTTGCGCAGGACTCTGGAATGCATACGGGCCGACGGAGCGCTTGCGCCACGCAGCAATGTATACATAGGTTGCCAGGCGAACCTCGGAGGCTTGCTACCTCGTTGCCGTTCATTCTCAGAGCATTCGATCCTTTTGGTGAGGAGACCACAATTTGGACCACAACGCATCTGGTGCAGCCTGGCCGCTCGGCCGAGGACTTGAGTATCAGGTTGAGGCTCAACTTTGCCAACCTCAGGCCAGTGTGCGGACAGCGCGTCCGTTCCAATTGGCCTGCCGCTTCCCAATGTCACCTTGAAGCTTTCTGAGGCTCGCATCTTTCTGAGTCTGCATTGCCTTAACCTTCCGTGTGCCTATCAGAACGCAGGCTGACCAGAGCAAGGACACCGAAGCTTCCGATGTGACCGGTGAGTTGCTGGTGGCATAGTTGCAAGACTAGATGGCCCCACAGTCGAAATCAATTTTACCACAGCCATGGTGTGTTTTCCCACGATGGGTTGTCTTGTGCGGCGAAGGTGGGAGGGATTGGCGTGGCATTGGGATACCATCGGCGACAGCAGCTGAACGCAGCAAGTTTTTTTGAAGACTCTGGTGGCAGGGCCCCTTGCCTGCATGGTCCTGCGCACGTGACAAGACAGCTGCCGTACAGGCAGTATACTTGCGTTCCGTGGGAGTTCCGTGTATCAGGTCTATCGAACCGGTGACCTTGTGCGTGTTTCACCAGACCCAGGCCAGAAGTCCTTGTGCAGCTGAGCATGCAGAGCTAACCCCGCACACGGCAGGAAATTGGAGAAAGACTTGGATAAGCCTAGCACAAGGAAACTCGGAACACTGCATTTCATCGAGGAGTTGGCTTGGAGTTCATGGGACGCCTGGACCAGCAGGCCTTGCTGCCAAAACTGTCTGTGGGCGTGCCTTAGTTCTGATTCGAAGGTTAAGTTTCGTGGCTTCCGAGTTGAGCTCGGCGAGATTGAGGCTGCAGGGAGCTTAGTTATCGGCATTGTTGGTTGTGTAGGCCTTGCATGGCGTGGGTTTCCACGGCTTTCCTCTCATGTTGCCAAAGGCCTGCACTGTGGGCGTCGCCTGGGGCTGGTCTGGCGATTGTGTTGGGGGGGGGGGGTTGAGGGCAGAGGTGGGAGCGGTGGGAGCGTGGGCAGGAGGGGCGGCGTGGGCTGGAGCCCCGTAACAGCTTGAAGGAAGAGCATGCAAGCAGTGTAGAGGGGGGGGGGGAAAGGGGAGCGGTGAGGACGGTGAGGGTGTGGGCTGGAGCCCTTGAAGAACAAACATGTGAAGGAAAACCTTGTGGGCGTGGGATTCAACTGTCAGAATCATGATTGGTTTGAGAAGACACCATCTGTAGGCTGCAGGCCCGTAGGCCTTGCTGCAGCTTCCAGAAAATTCCAGGCCCTGGAAAAACATCCACTGGTTGTCGCGGCTGCGGCTGCTCTGTCTTCTGCAGAACGCCCGGAACTTATCAAGCTGAAATGGTCCAGTCGCCGGAAGAATCCGAGTGAGAATGCAGCATGGTCAACTTGACATTGCGCCCTTGACTGCCAGCCTTGAGCAAGGGACGCCCCATGCAGACATGGGCCTCTCAGAAACGATGCAAGGGTGGTTTTGTGTCCCTCCCCTCTTCGGAACTGCACAGCGAAACTGGCAAATACGGAGGAGGATGGGCTGCTGCTCCCATGCGGACGTTGGCCCGCGGAACGCTCGTCCCCTCGGAGGCTCATTGGCTTACACCATGTGCACGATCGCATAGCAAGTCGTGGGGCCCTTTGATCGGGTGGGACTCCTCCGCTATGCGCTGCCATCCACACTTTCACTCAGCACAGTCCACCCACATCCTCTCCTTGTGTCGGTGGATGACGGGTTGTTCAATGGGGAGAGATAAACCGCACAAAGGCTGGGTGGTGGGGGCTGGATGTCATTATCAGCAACGGCAAGCTCCAGTCCTGTGTTCAAGCGCAAGTTGTGTCGCAAAGAGAGGACCACCGAGAACTGAGGAACCTCAGGATCGGCGATGGGCCCGCAGCCGATGTCCCAGCTTGGACTTGTGGACTTGCAGCCTCCGAACAAGATGCGACGTTCGAAGCAACGTGATATGCATCGAAGCATCATCCACAGGACGCACGGGACGGAAAGTAGAGTAATCGAGTATCCAATCAGCAGCCTCAACTTTAAGCTCAAGAGCTTCACCCCCCCGAGCTGTTGCCATGACGTCGCCGCTCGCAAGTCTGCCCTTGGTGAAGAAGGTGGGGGTTCATGATATTAGGGGTACCTTATTGGGGGTCCTGATTACAAAGGGATCCTACTATTTGGGGGTTGAAATCAGGGGCCCCTTATTTTCGTGAACGTCCGAGTGTTGTGGACTTGTCCTGGTCTTGAGAGCTTGTGGTGTGGTTGAAGATATGGAGTGAGCAAGATCTTTTGCGGTGTGCTCGACAACTCTTCGTTTCAGGATGGCTCTAAAGGAGACATCTCCGGCAAAGTCGTGGCGTCTCTCAGTCAAATTTCTGCTCCCTCCCCCCCCCCCCCCCCAGATGGCCACGGGGCCATCCCCTGCGCCCAGCTCCCCCAGAGAACATGTCCAGGAGGGTTTGAAGCAGAATATTTCGGGACATTTGCTGTTGTCGGTGCCCTGTTGCGATTGGCAAAGCTGAGGCTGTACTTCAGTGGCAGTCTCAGTGCCTGTTACGCTTGTCACTTCACACGACGGTTCGAAGGCAGAGGCCCTGACAAAAAAATTTGAACCATTTTGAACCTGTTGCAAGGTGCACACTGGTGCCCGCCATGCCGAGCATTCACACCTGCTTTAAAGCAGTGCCACGGATGCACATGTTCTGTGTGCAGCCCAAGTAGGCATGAATGGATCCACCTAAGGTTTTACGAGTCCTTGAAGCAAGAAGGTCAGGAAGTCGAGATCATCTTCGTGTCGGCTGACAAGTCGGAAGCTGACTTCAAGGACACCACGTATACCACGTGTCAATGCAAGTTCTCGTTCTGCCTGCCGGGGAATTTCTAAGTCGGATGCCCAAGTTCCTGCCTTGCCGGTCTCAATTTCGGCATCGTTTGACTTTGGAAAGGCAATGCTCAGAGTCGCTGACTTCGAAACCTGCGTGTTCAACCTCTCGTAGATCTTAGCAGATTGGCTCCCGAGGAATATTTCCATAACGAGCATGGCGATTGGTTGGCAGTTGACTTTTCTGCAGCTGCCGCTCGGGACGAGCTGTCGAAGCAGTTTGGCGTCTCTGGCATTCCGAGCCTCATCGTCGTGGATTCCAGGGGGCAGGTGCAAGTGCCAAGCGTAACCACACACACACACACTAGCTCGTCGTCAGCGCGGTTTCGCGTGCTGGAAAGTCCCTGAGCAGGCCGTGGAAAGTGTTGATGCCCGGAAGGATGTGGCAAGCGCACGCAGTCCGCAGGCCGCCGCAGCGTGAACTGTGTGAATAGTACGAATCGCAGCCTGGTGCCCTATCTTCGGCTCCTTCGGGCCCAGGATGCTTCGCAAGCCTTCGCGGCCTGGAAGAAAGTAGCAGGAGATTGGCGGGAGACGGCCGGCACAGTGCTAAGCTCAGAGTCCAAGCAGTTGCAACATGTGGCAACGAGAACGGCTGAAGAGAAAACAGATTAGGAACACCAAGACGCAGGAACTGCCCATAGTTTTTTTCCTGTGTGAGTCAACATCCTCTCCATGAGGCGTTGGGCGGCGCAGGGGCCGGTGCTGCACCCGCAGCTGGCGATGCTGCAGCGCTGCGCGCAGCACGCCTTGCGGCTCTGGAAAAGCGCGGCTGAGAGCTTGTGCGAGATTTGGTGGGCATGTGCTGCCGCTCAAGTGGTTTTCAAAGTTCACGCATGCACTTGCCACCATCTTGTAAGACGAGAATTGTTTTCGAATTGTTTTGAGTCGGTGGTGTTGTTTAGCAGCATGCCGTGTAGGCATGCGTAGGCTAGCGTGGGCTAGGCAAGCGCAGCAGCCTTGCAGCAAGCCTACGGCCCTGTGTTAGGGCGAATGATCTGTTACAGGCCCAGCTCGCATGGCGCAGTACTCATGCAGAAGAATCCTGTCGCCAAAGGAAAAAGGCGTGCTTGGCTGCTGCCCACGTGGTGAAACACATGTTTTTGCGCTCCGCGGAGCCTCCTGAAGCCCAGGCCATCACTGTTTGCCTTCGTCCAGTGCTCGTGGCTGAACGCTGCCACGGACAGCCACTGACACATACCCATGTTGGAAGCATTTGCAAGGGACTAGGGATGCAGTTGGTAGATGTTTGCTTGCATTTTAGCGTGGTTTTTCATGGAGAGCTGTTCAGCTGCTTCGTACCTGTTTGAGGTGCCCGCGTGGCCAAAGCTCGCCACGCCCGCCTACATCTTCGGAGTTGAGATCCCACCTGGCGCTCCGGCTGCATGGCCTGAGCATTTCCTGAGCATGCCAGAGTCAAACTGGGCCAAACAGCACCCCGGTCCCCGCATCTTAGAGACAGGGGGTAAGATCTCAAGAGGGGCTGCCTTTCTATCAGGCCGCGCTGCTTCCAGCCTCTTGGACGAGCAACAAGCACTCGTTGGGTCCCATTTCAACCCTGCCAGCGGGGCCTGCTGCCCCATTAGGAGGTGTTGGGCAGGAACTTCCAGCTCGGATAACCGAAGCGCACTCGGGGCGCTTAGGCTGAGCGCCCCGAAGGCTCAGGATCAAACAGCTGCCTGACAAGACCTTTCCAAGAGCAGCGTCGAAACCATGTTTGAGCTAAATCCACATGCAGTCGGAGCGCAACCCAGTGTGTCCACAGAACATCCGTGGAGTGCCCAGCCCCAAGACCATCCCCAGAGAATGTGGAGTGCCCAACCCCAAGAGCATCCCCAGAGAATCCCTGGACCCAGAGTATCCCCCACTGAATCCTGGAGTGCCCAGCACCGAGTGCTTTTTTTCGGAGAATTTTTGGAGTGCCCAACCCAGAGTATCCCCGGAGAATCCCTGGATTGCCCAGGCTTACGAGCATCCCACAAAACCCTGACCCTGGAATGCCCAGGCCCAATCCCTGGAGCGCCCAACAGACTCCCTGCAATCCCCAACCGCAGAGTATCCCCAGAGGATCCCTGAGATTAAACTCGCCCGTACATGGCTTCGACGCTGCTGTTCAGGGGATCTCTGGGGGATCCAGGGATTCTCTGGCGATGCCCTGGGGTGAGATACGGGTGATGGGCGAGGAGTAGACCGGCCGTGCGCTGAGTAGTCAGCTGCAAATCTCTCACCTCCTGTGGCCTCCCCCACGGGTTCACTGTTGTCACAGTCTTCTCGTGAATGATTCTAGGAACCACTGGGTCGCTCTCAACCGCCAAGTGAAACACCAAAGAAAGTCTTTGCCAAAAGCCCAAAGGGGGATGTCTTCAGATCCCTTACACCGATGATGGCTTCGCCGCTGCAGCCGTGCAGTTTGAGAAAGTGCATCGCCAAGTCTCTACGAAATCAACGTACCCGAACGAAGCAGTGACAGCGGCGCCGACAGCTAGCTGTACCTGGCCAGCGCTGCAAAGCAACTTCAAGGATACCGCCGGGATGCCATCCAACCTCTTTAACAACTCGAACTCTGTGGCCTATGACATGACAGTTCTATGCTTGAGACTTGCGGATGTCACAACCGCACCGCCAGGCCTATATGGTGCCTCGTGAGATCCACTTCGTTGAGGCAAGCCGAAGGGGATTCCGGTGAAGTGGGCGGAGTATTTGGAAGGCAGCAGGCGCCGTTGCTTTCTGCATGTTCAGGCGCTTCCCCTCACTTCATCAGGGAAGGTGGACCGTCGCTCACTGCTCGATGCGCACTCGAGGGGCGTACCGGACAGATCGAGTCGACGAGGCGGGCCAGGCGGGGCGTTCCCCAGTTGTGTTCAGCCTAGGGCCTAAGCGGGTACAATGATTCAGGAACCCGCACGCTTTGCATGAGGCCACGGGCCATCTGGAAGTGTGAGGGATGTGCTGTTCTCTGCCTTTGCCGAGTCCTCGGACGAGGCTTTTACCGATTTGTGACATGGGCCATAGACTTGTCTTTGTTGCTTGCGGTGGACATATCGTGACAACGGCAGGGCTCTGCTGGTGCTGCCGTGGACTTCGGAGCTTCGCTGGCAGAGCTGGGAGCCGCCCTGCATCATTTTGACCGGCTTGTCAAGATGCAGCTACGATACGTTTGGCATCATTTGGCAGCTCCGGGGCTACTTCTCACCTTCCCGACTCGTCCTAATGTCCACAGCATGCCAGCTGGATCTTGCCTTGGAGACAGTAGGGCTAGGAGTAGGAGTGGGAGTGGTAGGGGGGCGTCGGCGTCGGGATCGGCGTCGGCATCGTCGTCGGCGTCGGCGTCGGCGGTGGCGTCGTCGTCGTCGTCGTCGTCGTCGTCTTCTTCTTCGTCTGGTCGTGTTGGCGTCGTCGTCTGGGTCGTGCTGGTCGTGCTGGCCGTGTTGGTCGTGATAGTCGTGTTGGTCGTGGTGGTCGTGGTGGTCGTGCGGTCGTGGTGGTCGTGGTGGTCGTGGTGGTCGTGGTGGTCGTGGCGGTCGTGGCGGTCGTGGCGGTCGTGGTGGTCGTGGTGGTCGTGGTGGTCGTGGTGGTCGTGGTGGTCGTGGTGGTCGTGGTGGTCGTGGTGGTCGTGGTGGTCGTCGTCAGAGCATGCCAGGATGTGAGTGGCAGTCGTCGTAGTCGTCGTACTTGTCGTGGTCGTCATTGTCGTAGAAATCGTAGTAGTCGTAGCCACAAGGCTTGACTGCACCCGGTCTTGTCCAGTGAGGTAGACTCGGTAACGGCGGCTCCACTTGCAGAGAGGCCGCAGCATCTTGCTCACGGTGGCATAGCACAGCATGATTTGTCCAGCTGCGCTGTGGTGTCGGCAGGTTGGGTCGCGATGTGCATCTTGGCTTGGACGCGCCATGGCGCATGTGCAGTTCTGAAGGTGAATGATGGCTTAGGCTATATGGACGAGAAGAAGTCCCCTTGGACATGCTTCTGGGAGACATCAGCCTCAAAGGTCTGTGCCACTTGTCTATCGTTCATGAGACATCGGCGCCTGCATCTCAGTAACCTGCAGATGCAACAAGCATGAACAGGTTGGGATGACCTACTGTAGCCCAAAGAGCAGAGCTAGTGTTCAAGAAGCCTGAGCACGTCAATGCAGCTGATCGCTCCGCCGAGCCTTTGTGACCTTCCTAGGTACATATCTGGAGGAGCGGCAGCAGCTTCTGAGTGGGATGAACCAGGGCTATGCTGCACAGAAACAGACGCGCAAGGGTCAGCACCTGACATCTGAAGCCAGCTGAATAGCAATGAGCCCCATCCAAAGAACAGTGCACCAGAGGACCATGATACAAGGGACCCAGAGCAGCTTGTTCTTGCCAGCTGATCTCCCAACATGCTTATGCAGCAGGGGTGTGGAGAAGCATTGAGGCGTGGCGGCTTCACATTTGAGCGCTGTTGCCGGGATTCAGACGACTCCTGCCGGATTCTCGGCGGGCCCACTGGCACAAGCCTTCATTCCGTACAGCACTTGGATGCGTCATGAGTTGTACACAGTCGTGATGTGATGTGCACTGCAACAAGCTGCAACAAGCTGCAACTCACGGGCCCGAGTCTTCGTGGAGCCCAAAGGGTAGGGCACTGCTGCCTGCGTAGGTAGTGCTCTCTGGCTCCAGACGGAGGCACATGAGTTCAAGATGGTTGGTGTGGTCGCTGTGCTGCTGGACCTTCTGGACCTTCAGCGAAGCAGAACTGTACGAGCCCACGCAGTGCCTTGGCGCTGTGTCTCCGGTCTTAGAGGGCATACTGACGCCTTGATGCAGTGCCTTTTCCACTTTGGAATTGCCCAGCTGCCCTTCATGGTGCAGTGAAACCGTGAAACCCGCGCCATGTAGAAAGGTTGTGTCGAGCAGCCCCGGCTCGTGTCAGGTGCGGTGTTGGCTTCGCGAACGAGACTGGAGCCATGGCATGAAGAGCTGAAGGGTCTTTGCAAGGAGCTATAGCGGGCATTCTTCGGCTTTGAGCTGCGGTTCCACCAACCAGATAGCGTTTCAACTGTGTCTGCGGTGACCGATTTTTTTTTCATGCCAGCTTCGTCTGCTACTTGTATAGACGCACTGTGACACACTCTCAGTTCTTGTTTCTTGCTGTGGCGACCAGCTAGCTCGCGCCCGCTTTTTCTGCTGCACCTCTTCTACCGCTGCTCATGAGTGCTGCGGGCTCTACACCCAAATTCGTAGTTGGTCTCGGGCTTGGAAGATCTGGGCACTGGGTGGCCGGAACCCAAATCCAAACCCTCAACAACTGCTGGGTTCATCTGTTGAGTCGGGTTGTTTCTAAATGCTGCAGTCGCAATTCCCCGGAGACAGGCTCGAGTGAGTTAATCCAAAGGGCGCTATCTTCGAATCCATGCCATGGATGCGTTCAGCAGGGGAAGGATGTCAAGGCATGACTTAGGGGTGACTTCCTCTTTGCAGGAGGGGGTGGTGCGGCCAAAATAATGACTTGGCCCTGCGTCACCCCCCCCCCCCCTAGGCGATTGCCTGCACGAGTACTGTTCGACGCAGTGAAGAGCTTGAGCTCAGGGCGCGCTTGCCCGGTAGACTGCCCGTCCCTTCTTCAGTGTGGAGCCGGCAGCGTGCAGCACCTGGTCACAACTTTGTTAACAGTGAGTTTGTTGGACTGACAATGCTAGCCACCTCTAACACAAAGCTTGTGAAGCCACGGAGAAGCAATGACAAAATGAAGGGATGACATCTGCTGAGAGCAGAAAGAGTCCGTCCATGTCCCTTGAGGTACACCTGTGTCAGACAGGAGATGTGCGGCAGACTCCTTCCAAGAGGATTTGCGGTTGATCAGGACCAGTGCGCCCCTGTTGTTTAAAAGCTGACAGGGGGTTGCACAGCTCGGAGAGTCGGAGGGCCTGACATTTTTCAGCACTGTCCGTGTTGTACGCTTTAGCTAACATCCGGCCGTCGAGTGCATGCAGGGTGCTGGGGAGACTGGCCGATGCGCCAGCTGCGAGATCCCGGGATGTGACAAGTGTGCTGATACTGGTGGCTGCGCTCGCTGTGGCAGCGGGTTCAAGCTGCTCTCCGGCAGATGTCCCTTCAGTTTTGTCTAGCAGATTTTCCAATTGGCTCCTTTGTTTTGTTCCGAGAAGCCGCTCCACTCTGCGTGTGGATGAAACTTCTATGCACGGACAGGTGTGTGGAGCTCGCAGATGCTTTGGGAAGTAGTTGGCATCATTTCAGCCTTTCTCTTTTTTTGGGCATGCATCGACTTCGCGGTGGCTCATCTGAAAGCGAGAACCAACGACGCCGCGCTGAAGGCTCTCCTAGTCCGTGATCTTAGTGGGAGGGGGGGTTTCTTGCCAGTTTATGGACTTGCCTGGAATTCTTGGATCTCTTGACGTAGCTCTCCGGTTTCTGAACAAAAAGGTTTGGACTTGGAGGCCGGAGATTTAGGAGTCTTTGAGAGCAGCGGTAAAAAAAGCCTCGGCGCAGTTCTTGCCAGCTGGTCCGCCATGTCCGTGAGGCAGGCTACATCTCGCGCTGGCGTGCGAAGCTTCGCAATAACTACGCCGCTGGGCAGCAATCTGTCCTCCCCTACTTTGCATCCCTTGCAGATGCTTGGGAAACCCAGGAGATGGGGAGGCCACAGTATCCACTCTGCTCTTCCATGCATGGGCACTCGTCCGGGCACGCACCTATTGGTGGGCCTGGGACAGTGCTTTGCATGAACTGGTGGCTAGGCTGAATTCGGTCTGCACTGGAAACTTGGGGAGATCAGGTGGCACCTCTTGAAAATTGAAAGCGAATGTTAGCAGCTTCTTGAGTTGCAACTCCTTTGACAGAGGTTTTTGCTGGTGGCGGCGGTGGGTTTGTGGCTTTCAGCTATGGCTTTCTACTTCGCACCGCGGTGGAAGCCAAAGCTTCTGGACAGAGGGGCCATGTGGCGCTTTCAGCTGGGCTGGAGCAAGCCCTTGAAGCCTTTCCCTACTGCTCCCTACGTTGCCCTGATGTTCGGGGGCTGTTCTCAAGCTAAGACGTTGACGTGTCGTTTGAATGTGTGGGGGTTGCAGGATCCAACGTTGGCTTGGAAGTGCAACCTCCAGAACCTGCAGCCCAGAGATGTGCGGCACGGCGTCTGGGCGGCGCTGAACTACATAGGCCCCTCGTCTGGCCTCAGGGGGTCTCTGTTACCCTATAGGCAGTCACTAGCCACCTTCCTGGGTTTCATGAAGCAGGCGGACCTGACATGCGGGTGTGCCGCTGAACACTGTAAAAACATGGAATGGGCTGTTCTTGTTTCGGCTAGTCGGGACGGCTTTTGCAGAACCAGCGAGGAAACAGTTGCACGAAGGGAACGTGTAGAATCGTGAAGAGGAAGTACATTTTGACACTCTTGAGCTTCTACAACAGATAGCTTCCGTGCAGAGCATGCGGCACGCTCCGAGTACCTTGCATATTATGCATCTGCACACGCATCTGCACACGCTGTGACATACTATGACGTACTCACGTATCGCAGATAAATTGCGGGGCCGTTGTTGTTAATTAAGTGCACCACTTCTCAGGGGCGACCGTGATGTCTGCCTTCTTCCTCGTGTGGCAGAGCTTGCTCTGGACACGCATGACGCACGACACGGCGGGCGATATCTGTCTGCATTTTTATTGCGTCTGAGCCGCACTCATCCAGAGCCTGTTTGCCATTTTCTGAGATCGTTGTTGCTGCATGTTGCTTCTGAGTGGAATCCGGACAGGTGTTGAGGCTTCCGGCTTCCCAGGGGATGCCACCGACAAGATGGAGTTGTTGGACACTGCCCAAGAATGGTTCGTGTGCATGTGCATGTGTGTGTGTGTGTGCTACACTGCTACACACCGGTATGCGGATGGCCTTAGCGGCTAGTTAATGGGAATTACATCTCCACCGTTCTCGGTAAGGACGCAAGATGCTGAGCAGATTGGACAACATGTTTGTGCTTTTTCGGCACTCTGTATGGGGATGACAGCATGACCTAGGCATACTTCAGCGCGGAAATGGTTCGCCTTGGTCTGCCGGCAGATGGAATTGAGCACATATCCATAGGTGCGGCCTGAGCCGAAACGTTACGCTTTTGTCAGATCTTTGATGCATTCATGGGTCGTCAGGCTACAAGTTCACTCCAGCTGAAGCCGTCTGGGTGGAGCAAGAAATGGAAAGGCATCTTGCTAAGGAGGATGCGAATGATCCTGGGAGCCCAAGCCATTGGCAAAGCAACCCCGAGCACACGCCTGCATTGGGACCGCTGAGCCGCAGAACGGTATCGCGAAGTGTTGGCGAGGTGGAGATGATGGAGCTGAAGGCAATGACCGGCAACCTGAGTGACAGTTGCGATAGCTCCGACGCAGAGGATTCTGATCCAGGCGGCTTTTGGGTGCAGCTTCTTGCGAGTGCCGCCTGCCTGTCAAACTTCCGCTGTTAACGGAGATGGTTTTCGCATGTTTTTTCTTGCAGCAAGCACCGTCTGGATGCTTGTCGCTGCTGCTCCCCCCTTGTGTGAGAGATAAGTTGCGATTTGCTTCGCCAGAGGTCATATGCGGGACTCCGTTTGAGTGTCGCGAAACATCTGTGGACCCGCAGACTCTGTGCCAATATGACATCTTGGAAGATCAGTCGGCCTTGGACCATTTTCCAAGTTCAGGCCTTGTGACGCTTGTCTGCAGCGGACATGACGGGCCGCAAGTGGCATGCCGAGCAGGTTGCGAGTCAGCTAGTCACAGCTAGACCGGCTAGTCACGGCCAGTCGCGATGAGGTTTGTTGTTCTGAAGATGGAGCCGGTGGCCGTGGCGCTTGCAAGCGCGCAGGTGTTGCCAGGTGGGCACTGGTGCCTGCACTTGTCTTGAAGATCGTGCGTCCGAGATGACTGTGCCGCTTGCGTGCTGAGGGCTGCGTGTGGTCAGGCTGCTTCCGTGGAGTGCATGAGATCAAAGTCACGAGATGCGAAAGCAGCCCACAGACAGTTCTCTGGGCCAACTTTCATGTGGACTCCTGCACTTTCTGGAAGCGGGCAGTGCTGCGTGACTCCCAGTCGGAAAACCCCCAAATTGAACAACAAGCGGTCGCAGGTAAGCATGCTGAACGATTGCTGGTTTGTATCCTTGCTTGCAAACTCTGACGAGGTCCTTTTTCGTGCTGCTAGCAGCCCTTGCAGTCTGGTTTGGCCTCTACTTTCCGTTTTACCGCCTGTCCATGACCCTTATGCTGCATTGTCTAGCGACTTGTGACCGGTAAAGCCATGGTAAAGCCGGTAAAGTTCGCTGCAGGCAATAGCGGCAATAGCAGCGTGCCAGGAGCGTGGGCTCGTACAACTTGACGACTGACTTGGCGGTTGGTGTGTCCAACTTTGCTGGCCTCTTCATCGTGACTTGCTTTGGAAGTTTATGCCAGCTCATGCCTCCTAGAGCTGCCGTAGGAGGCTTCGTAGGCTTCGTAGGCTTCGTAGGCTTCGCGTGACTTCATTTGAGGCACTTGGCAACAGCTCCTTGGCTCACAAGAGTGGCTTCGAAGTCTTCCGGTCTTCTTCTGCGGACATGTCTTCCACTTTGTGCGCTTGTCCTCTTTAAAAGAGGTGCGTTATCCATCCTCATCCCCAAGCTCACCGCGTATATGGCTTTCTGGCACCAGAGCGAGCAGCACCTGACTGATCTTGCAGTGCTCATACCGCGGCTCGATGCGAAGAACTGTCTTGCGATCGTGCTTTCAGATAGACCTTCGTACACACAGTCTAGACCTCTGAGGTGTGTGGCCATAAACTGCCTCATGGCTGCTCGACTCGTGGACCTTGGTAGCTTTTTGGTTGCTTTCTTTGGGATGCGTGCAGCCACTTGAGAGCTCTGCATCAAAATACGCAGGGGGGTAGAACACCAGGGCCAGGGCTGTCGTCCCCAATGTGCAAAGATTGCGGACGCATACTTTGATTGTGAATGTGTGAGTTTCCCTTCGTCGTCCAACAGTTGTTGTCTCAGGACTTCTTTGTACGAACCTCGGTGCTGATGTTGGCGCCGCTGGTTTTGGTGCATGGCAGTAGCGGTCGTAGCGCTGATGGGCCTTTGGATTGCAAGTTCAGGTCACGAGCTACAGCTCTGTCCAGCAGTTGTCGGACACCTTGTCGCATTCGCTCCAGCTCGAGGTGGTGCTTGAGACAGCAATGCAGCAGTGTGCAGCAGTATGCAGCAGTATGCAGCAATCCAGCAGTATGCAGCAAGTCAGGAATCCCGCTTCAATTTCGTTGACATGCGAAAAGCGCTCACTTGCCCGCCTGCTCGCTCACGCTCAGACACACAAACTCGCACCCTGCACACACACGCACGCACTGCCTTTCTGGAGAGTTCTTCCATTGAGGAGGCATGTGATTTCATCCAGCAGAGATTTTAGTTGGTGAAGCGGCAACCATGACGGAGAGATGGGGAGGGCGCGCTCTTCGGAGCCAGGTGTCGTTCTTGTGTGTGTGTGTGTGTGTCGCGCTGGCCTTGACCAGGATAGGTGCCTATCTACAAGTCCCACGCGCAGTATTGCCAACGGGCCTACCAAGCTTAAGCAAATTGTGGTAAGGGTCCGGTTGCAAGGAGTGGCGAGCGAGGGGTCTTCACTTACAATCGCCAGTTCCGATAGGGAGTGGATGCATCCCCCCAGCCTTATCTTGTCGAAAGGTAACATTTTCTTGTTGGCATCGCCTTCTCTTCGTGGGCATATACACATGCACACACACATGCATGCACGTGCAGCAGGTCCATTCGTATGATGGTTGCCATGCCACAATGTGCTGACCCTTGCTCCCAGGTGCAAGATGCTCGCCAACATATAGCAGCTGCTAGCAGGGTCGAGCTACTCCGTGGGTGCTGCTAGCTCGTTGTCTCGAAATGCATCAGTGCACAGCACAAGCCTGCTGTGCTTATGCAGTTGTCAGCATGGTGCCCGATCTGAGGACAACATGGTATATCTCTTGTTCCCTAGCTACGTGCTGCTGCCCTACTTAGTGGAGCCTGCACCTTCGCCGCACAACTGCTGTGAGAAAACGGTTTGCTTTTGTTTTCTGTCGGATTTGTTTTCGTTTTTGTTTCTTTTCGCTAGCGCTGCTACTATGCAATGCGTTAGTACGGAAACAAGTACTTTAACTACCTTGCACCTAAGAGAGTTTTATTTGAGGACGACTAGTACTGTCAGCAGCACTACTACGGGTACGACTACCATTTGAACTAACATCACTACTATCATGACTACTAATTACTACCAGTCTACTACTCCTATGGGGACGATTATTTCGACTCCCATTTGGTAGTGGCAGTGGTAGTGGTAGTCGCGCGGCCGGCAAAAAAACTCACGCCTAAAAACGCAAAAGCCCAAATTGAATCTCCGGCCAATGGTGGTCAGCGGTGGCTTGCAGCGGCACCATGTAGCCACGTAGCCGAGGTGGTTGTCATTGCATTTGCACTTTACATTGCTGTACTCCGCATCAAGCGTGAATCTTGGCAGTCTTGGCATTGACGTTGGCGTGCGATTCCTGTTCACGCAAGCCTCAGGGCAGGATGTTGAGACAAGGAGGGTCGACCCTGCTTATTTTCTTGCACCCTTGATCCAGTTGCTCTTCCCTAAGTTTGTTTTAAAGAATTGTGCTAAAAGATGCATGAATCTTCCACGGTGTGTATACCGAATGGATGTTTGGATTACATTGATGTCATGATGCCATCTTAACCTCATGTGCATGCAAGCGCTCAGGACACCCGCATCACACCTGGCCAGGCAGAGGTTGCCATGATGGCACCGGAAACTGCGACTTGGCATTGTCCTCACAATAAGGTGGGCATGTCTAGATGCTTTGGGTAGCAGCTGCGATGGCTTAGGATTTGAAGGTCCCACTCGCAGATATGTGCCTTGGTTGCTACTGCCATGCAAGCGTAAAGCGGCTCCCCTTGCAAGGGCAAGCAGTTCTTCTTTGTTGCGCATGGTGCTTAGGATCTGCACAACATCCACCATCATCTCCACTTTTCTCCTTGGGCCGAGCATGTACCACAGACCTTTGGCTTGAGTGGGTGCAGGAGTGACGGGAGGGCATGGGAGGCTCCAGATGCTTGGCCGGTGTGCGCCCCAGGATGCTTAGACTAAGGAATCTTCTTTCTGCTCATGATTGTGTTCGTCGCAGTGGCTTCTGGGTGAAATGACAGCTGTTCTGAGCCCTTGGGCTGGCATCAGTCCCAAGACCCTCTACATCCGAGGCTTATGCCCAATATCGGATCCGAGTTCTGCGCTGGGACTCGGCGTGCTTCCAAGGCACGAAGAGCTTGCACGCGGCGGAGCTGCAGGAAGCAATTGCCAATACTTCCGACTATCTTCCTTCATTCTGGCCTCAGGGGTGTCCATGCGTTCCATCCAAGGTTTGCCAAGCGACGTACTGGTGTTTTCCTTTGGGCCTTCTCGCAGCAGCATGGGAGCGTGAATGGAAGGAGGTCCCGTTCAGTGACTTGACCACCGGCTGGCACCTTGGATCACCTCAGTGCGGCCTTCAGTGGCCTTCAGCCTTGCAGATCACGTTGGACATACTTCCGTGATGCTTTGTCCTTCCTGCTGCTTCCGTAGCACCGAGGCATGGATTTGCAGCGTGTCTTGGCAGCACAGACACAGCAACTCCCTCACTTTGAAGGGGGTGGGCCATTGTGACAGCTGCGAAGGCATTGCATGGCGCACTTCATCTTCTTGCGGTTTGTCCTGCCAGGCACGCCACACGCAGCGCACAGAAAGGCAGAGACCGGTAGAGTGAGACGGAGAGACAGGCAGACGGAGATGGGGAGGCACCAATCGCATCGGACCCTAAAACCTCTGTGGACCCGGGATCCTTGCCTGCGCATGTGCTACTTGCTACACCCCTGTGCTGCCGGGCCTAGTCTACGAATCGGATCAACGCAGTACGACCAAAACTCATGTTAGTCAGGTCATGTAACAATACATCCACTAGCAATAGATTCCAGGCTCTGAGGCATGCGACGCAAGGAGGCCGACGACGGGTGTCACACAGTAAGCTCCTGTACATCATGCATTATCGACATCCGTCAGTTCACGATGAAGAAAAGCATTCTTGAGTGCGAAAAGAAGGGCCATGTAAGAATAAAATGACCACCGGCAAGACATCCCAGGCTCAGAGGCGCATGAAACACAGAAGCCTACAAAAGGAGGACAGGTGTCACGTGGCGAGCTCCTGTCATACAAGACGCAGCCCGTACTTGAGGCTTAGAGGCCTCGAAATGGGTTTCCACATGTGTGTATATATATATGTATGTATAAACAAATAACTAAATAAAAAACATATAAATATATATATATATATATATGAACACATGTGTATATATATACATATATAGGATGCTTTTTCGGTTGCGTGGTACAAGACGATGACAAGAGTTTCTCAGGTCTTGAGCCGGCGGTTCCCAGCAGTCAGCTGTCCTATTCAGAGGTCGGCCTATGGTGGCCTGTGGTGGAGTTCTCAGAATTATCGTGTTCAGCATGCTTCTCATGCCTTGGCCAGGCTCTCAGCCAACTGGGCTGGGCACTCAGATGCGACCTCCACGAATCAGGATGGTTAGTTGCCTGGAGATATGGGTTCCTGAGGGGCTCCAGAGCACGGAGAGAAGGACAGCATAGAGGGAGAAGACTTTTCGTAACGTCTCCCCATCCTTGTCCGCCCTTTCAATCGCTCGGACTTGTGTCCTTTCCCGCCGATCCGCGATCTGGGTGACCGAGTCGAAGCTCGTGGAGTTGACTGTACTGATGTAGCATCATGTAGCAGGGAGGTGGCATGCACAGGTACAGCAAGCTACATGTATCAGCAAATTGCCGAGTGCTCTTGGTCACAGCGGCGCAAGGCGGAAAGGCCGGGTTGGCTGACTATTTGAACACCAACCCCATCGAGGTGCATGTGTTGCTCGTATTGTTGAGATTGATTGAATCGGTTTGTAGACCGTCATGCGGGTCTGGAAGCATGGGAATCGAGGTGCTCAAGAGCCATGTGGTGCCAGAGCCCTGCACTGGACTCCGATTAATTTTTTATCGACCAGACAAGGAGTACTTGCCACTTGGCAAAGATTTGAATGCAGCGCTTGGGGAGTGGCATGTTGCATGTGGTCGATGCTGCCGAGTGAATGTCCAATGACAGCCTTGCCGAAGGCAGCGCCGGGCTTCAAAGTTCACTGCAGGAGCGACGGACATTGCAACATGGTTCCAAAACCTCATGTGAGCAGCAGAGCGGCTTTCGAAAGTGTCATGGTGCAGGAGACAAGGGCTTCGAGATGAGCGTGCTTGCACACGTGCATCAGGATGCGAGCTCCCTTGCGCAGCGCCTAGTGAAATAGCTGGACAGTTGTGGAAGAAGCAGTTGCTGGATGTCGCCGTCACCGGCAGCCCAGGTTTCAGAAATGGTAACTTCTGTGGGCAGTCCGCTGGACCAACTTGCTGCAGCCCGGCACGCACAGTCTCACTGTCTGTACTTCTGAAAGCAAATCTCTTCAGGATTCCGAGCTTCCCTCTCCAAGTGCCGCTGCCCCATGTGCTGCCATATGCCATCGTAGCCCAGGCACACGGGGCTGACTTCTCGACAAGGAGCGCTGCGCTGTGTTTAGTTTCGAGCTTCTTCGCCCTTGCTGGCGGTCAAGTATGCTAATTGTGCTTGAGGCGGGCCTATTTCATGCGTGCCAGATCCGGTTCCGAATCTGAGACAGGTTCCGGAGAGAGCCGCTGAGAAAGAAGGTAACGCGAGATAGTGCGATGCCTTTCAGCTGCTGTTTCCCAGAGAGGCACTGCAGACCAAAGTTAGCGCCACAAAGAGGGCCAGTCTGCTACAAGCGGCACGACAAGTCAGCAGAGCGCAAGCAAAGGCTGCAGGAAGGGGCCGGGTTGGTCCGAAAGCAAAGGCTTTTTCAGCTGCGGTCGAGAGCAATCATCCAAGGTTGGGATTCTTCCTTCACCTTCGAGCGGTGCTGCAGCCTGACAGCTGTGAAGCGCTACTCGCTGCCCGGCTGATGATCAAGTGATCCGCACCACAGCACTAAACACCAGACCTTGACCCTGGTCCCAGCATCGCCTTGCTAAGAACCAACAGGAATCAACCGCATCGGTCCAGCGGTTGAACGTGGGAGCCCTGCAAGAGCCCTTTATTGCCATTCCAGGGACTTCAACTTTGCCCCGCCCCAGAACATGCACTACGAGCTGCTCGCTTCCTAGTCCCAATGTTTCCTACTTGCAGCGCAGATGCCGCAAGCACCAAAGGCTCCACAAGCCTGAAGGTTGCACCTTGAGCGCGACAATAAGCCCAGGCTAGGACCTGTGCAGGCACCGCCGGCGAACGACATGCATCAGCAGGCGTCGTTTGAGTTGTGCCAGGATGATGAAGCGCTCGTGCTGTACAGCCTTGTGCGCGCCTTACGCCCGGGCCCCGCGGGATCGCAACTTGCCACAGGCGGATACATGTGCATTCTGGCAATAGGCTCGAATGGCATTGCAGTGTAGCAAGGCGTGATGAGGTGCGTACGGGGCGTGTTATGAAGTGTTATGAACGTCGAGGCCCTCGAACGATCGTCGAGCTGGATCCTCGGCCTCTGCGCTGAGTAGATGTAACAACGGTCTGCTGCTGCTGCTGCTCAAGTGAGAAAGGGTTTCGGGTCCGGAGGGAATGGCCTGGATTTCTTTCGGGTTCTTCATCAAGGGGCCTGTACGAAGTCCGAGATTCGGAGTAGTGCGGCTCGTGCGCGGCTCCCTGTTGAAGGGCTTGAACGCTTTGAATTTGTATTTTGTTTTCGGGTGAGAGCGTCGCACTCCGAGGTTTGGCACCTCGCACGGCTTCAGCGCATTGAACTGGATGTTGGGGCGCCCAGTTGCCCATGTGGCCCTACAGGTGTGCCCTGCAGTAAGCCTCAGCTCAAAGATCGCCCGACAGGGCCTGCAGGCAGAAACTGGCTACAGGCAAACCGCAGCTTGCTGAGGCACGCGATTGCCGAGGACAAAGATGCCCGCGTCTATAGTGCGGCCCATAAACTTCAGAAACTGTCTGAGTTTGAGTAGGGAAACGTGATTTGCCGATTGCTTCCCGCTGTGCCGATGCATCGCAGAGTTCGCAGAGGCTACGACATTTTGCCCTACCCCGCGGCCCGCGCGCTGGAGGATTTGCAACGGGACGAGAAGAATCGTGAACGGCTCTGTTTTTGGCACGGATCGCTCTCTGGAGGACTCGGACCCACGCTTTGTCTTCCACCAAAAAAGCCTCGGCCCTTACACGAATCTTGGTGTTGGCATCGGTTGGTGCTGCACATCTGCAGATAGCACGCCGAAAGTTTGCGCATGGCAAGGTCAGGCCGACTTCGAGCCGGCAGACGTGGATGGCCATATTCTCGGGCATCATGCTGTGAGCGAAAGCGTGTTGCGAGCATATTCGTAACTTATGCTATGAGCGAGGCCGGCCCATAGACGTAGCATTTTTCGATGCCGGCCACCTCATAGAGCAGCTTTCCTGCAAGAGTAGCGAAGGGCAGGTTTCTCTTTCTGCAACATTCAGAGCCCGTGACGAGGTTCCCCACTCTGTAAGCTCTCTTCACAGGTACAGCCTGAAAGCTTTCGAGCGACTGCGCCCGGCATTGGCTCCAAATGCCCTCGTTGCTGTGCATGATACCGGCCTTCACGTGCCGGCCTCTGTGGTTTGCAGAGCTTGGCAATGGCTGGGTCCCCGACGCATTGTGGGCGGCAAGCCATCTTGTGTGTGAGGTCCGGGACTTTGGTTCTGGGGCACCGCCGGAGGCCAATGCCGACACTTGCCTGCCGCAACTTGTCGGACGGTTTTCAAACGAGCTTGATGCGGAGATGGGGGGGCTGCTTTCAGGAGGAGGGCCAGCCGTTCAGCGAGGAGAGCTGCGCTCGGCGTGCTGGAGGAGCTGCCCGCTGCCTGGGGCCGAGGAGCTCTCAGCCACGGGAAATCGCGCAAAGCCGGAGCGTTCAGCCGGAGCGTTCTTTGGTGATCACGCTCGAGACCAGCAAATGCCCCGAAGTCAAAGCAACGCGAACCCGACCCACCCTCCTACCCATAATGTTCCTACATGCACTCACCCCTGAAGGTTGATGCAGCTTCACGTAAAGGACACGGCTAGGATTGAATAGGACAACCGCGCAGTTCATTGTCTGCACATGCAGCCACGTTTTCATGGCACAGCGCCGATGGGTACTGGGTGCCACGGTGCTGCTCCTATGGCGGGGCCTGGAGACGCTTGCGGAAATTGATGCGAGACGCTTTCAAAAACCCTCTTGGACTCGGAAGGTCGATGTAAGCAAGCACCCTACAGTCTTTTGCAGTGCCACGTGGGGTTTCTATTTCTTCCATAACGGGCCAGTAAGAGAATCTGTGCGGCCCGTGTTTCCGTTCGCACATAGATTATGCTATTACACGCGTAAACTTGCCAGCACGTGTTCACTCTAACCTGGCCTCTGTTCGTCTGTGCCATCTTGACTTAGAAACCGCACCATCATGAGTCTCTCCACGTGACAGGAACTCTCTTGACGAGGAACCCAACATAGAAACCTCCCCAACAGTGCTACCAGGGCTTCTAGATATGTTCCTTCACCCATCACTCCTGGAGACCGTAACTCTCATATCTTGGCCTAACCGTTCATGGGGAATGCACGGCACACTGGCCAGTTTGCCATGCTAGAGGGTTTGGTTTGCGCAGCTGTTTTTGGCTGTTGGCTTGTTTCGATCCGCAGCTTAGGCGCGGCCCTGGCCGAAGCTTCGCTTCTGTTGCCCGCAACCCGACTGAAGTCATCTTTGCGCATCGTTGCGCTCCTTGCCATTCCTTGGCCCCTCTCCTTTACTTTCCAAGGCAAAGGCAGGGGCGCAGGGCGATCAAAGCCCCACGCCGAGCTGAGGCCGGACCTGAAACAGCCGAAGTAGAGCCGTAGAGCCGTAGAGCAGTAGGCTGTGAGCGGGCGTTTGGCGTCTCAGGTTTTCGGTCCTGGCACAGCAGCTGGAAGAGATCGCTCAGACAACAGGCACAGGCAGCAAGGCTCGGAAGGTTGACCTTCTGAAGACACTTGGCGGGATCTTGCTCACAAACAGCAGTAGCTCAGTGTTGCACTGAAGCCCAAGAGAATTCGAGCTTTCCTTGCGTCCATCCTGAGGGAGCTCTTTGACCAAGCGTCTTTGGAAGACACAAAGACGCTGCTGAAGCTTTTGACTCGGTGGGGCCTTCCTCGTGCTGTCCAGCTACGAGTGCTTCAGCTTCATTTGCATTTATTTAGTTTTTTTCATTCGGTCCTTCGTTCTCTCTCCCCCTGACTCTCCCTTCTGTCCCTCCCTGCTGCTGCGCGTTCTGGCACGGATTGCGAGCGCTTCTTTCGTAGCATCTTCAGCTCGACATCCGAAGCTCAAAGCGTCAAGCCCGCACCTGCAGAAGACATTTTGTGTGCAAAAAGGGGGGTTGTCTAGCTTTTTCCCCTGGCCCCAAGTCCATCTTACATTCGCCAATGGCTAGCGTAAGCGTCTTGGAGCCGAGCATCTGCATGTGTGAGAACCTGTGTTTCGGTCGATACCCCCGTGCATGGTTCTTGCTCTCAGCGTCACACGCCTCGGAATTGGAGCATAGACTGGGTGGTAAATTCCCCTACAGCTAAGCACCCGATACCCAGCACATGCATGCCAATCCGTGGCAGCAAGATTGGCGTTGGTAGGCACGTCGCAAAGACATGTACACAACACATGTTGAGCTGCAACAGTTTGGCTGCAAGCACACGCAAATGCGAGCAAGGCCGTTCAAATGCTTTCAACAGACTTGCTATTATTCGGGTTTGTGCATGCAAAGCGAAACTTTGAGTCTCTTTGTGGTGGAATTTTCAAGAATCTAAGAACTCTAAGAATGAGTTATGCCGCATGCCTGGATGTTGCACTGTTCACAAGGTCAGGGTCAAAATCAGGGCCACGACAGACCCTCCCATGCAACGAAGACTCCAGACACAAAATTGAGACCCTTTGCGTGTGTAGGTGCGCAAAGCGCTGGAATTGCGTGGTCGCCCTCCCACTCCCCTCCGCCCTCCCCCTCCCCTCCCCCATCTCCCCACCCCCCGCACCTTCCTCACGCCCCCCCCCCCTCCCTCCTCCTTTTGTTGCATTTGTTCTCGTTCAAAAATCGAGGTTGGGTCAGCCATGCTGCAAGCCTCAGTTGGGGACATGAAGCTGCGCGTGAAAGCGCCTGAGGAGCCTGCATTCCACGTTCCGGTGATAAGCGGCGTGAGGCATGCTGTTGCATGTCACCAGGAGAAATTGGCCACTTGGCTGGCTGCGGGAGAAGTCGCCGACATTGGGGAAGGTTGGCAAAGGCTGGTGTGGCTGCGCAAGTCTATCGCTCACACAAGCTGGTTGGTGGTGCTCTGTCTAGCCCACCAGGCTTCTTCAAGCGGAGAAGAAAAAGTCCTCATGCGAGGATTTCACGGTCCAAGAGGTTTGGAAGGAAACCTGGCTGCAAAAAGAACGAATTTATCCAGCTCACTGTTTTGTCACAAGATGTGTTCTATTCGTTGCCCCAGGAGCTGCTCAAGTTCAACGAAATCGAAGAGAAGGCATTTAATCCCACACGTCTTTGCGTTTGAGAGCCAAACCGCCACGGCCTTGCAAGGGGGCTGTAGCCCAGCGGACACTTCTTGCAGCGCGGCTGGCAAACGGCTGTGGCCGCAAGTGCCCAGCAGGTGCAAAGTACATCTGCCGCATGATGCGCCTGGGCTGTTCGCCACACGTTGTTGTAATTCAGTGTGTGTGTGGGTGAGAGAGAGAGGGAGAGAGATCGGCCCGCACGCGACTTTGACAAACCTTACAGACTTACAGACCGACGCATCTTGTATGTTATTGTATATGGCTGTATTGAGCCCCGAGCAGGTAGACACTAACAACCTACATAGCGATGAGTGTAGCTTAGCTGCTGACACGGGGATTTAAGTAGTCAGACTAGGAGGATGAGGAAGAAGTTAGATGGGAGGTGTATGAAGAATACATGAACTAGCAGTCTGCGAACTGAGGCTGGGGCAAAGCCTTGCCATTGGGGCCTCGGATAAGACGTTGGCTCTGGCGTTCGCAAAGCAGACTCGAGTTCCCAACGGTGGAAAATTGCTCGACCTGTGGCAGCAGTACACCTTTGTTTCTTCAGGCTTCAAGTAACTTTGGATGTTCGGGTGTGACGAAAACTGCGCTTGGAAGTTTGAAGTTGAACTCAGGAGCTGCTTGAGTTGAACCCTGACATCGATGCAGTTGTCGATGACCTGATGGCCGGCGTTGCGGGATCGGGTGGGTCGCAAAGCGTGCGCCTGTGGTCGCCCATCTCGCCCTCGACGGCAAGTCCAGTCGAGGCCCCAGGTCATCCTCTCACGGGCTCTCTGGCAGTCTTGAAGTTAGGTTCCTTTCCCACCCCTGTCGCAGGCTAAAAGCATCGCCGAGGTGCTAGAAAAGGTGAGGAGGAAGTCGCTGGACTTCAAATGAGGGAGAGAGTTTCCGCAGTTGACCACGGTTCACTGATCATTGTTCGAATCGTTCCTCTGTGCACGAGGAGCAGCCGCGCCGCTTCTGGCTGGAGAGCTGAGTGGAAGTACGATGGCGAAAGGCTGCAGATACATGCGGAACGAGGGAAGAAGGAAGACATCCGCTTCGAGCTGTTCTCCAGACACTTGCCATGCAGTATGGGGTTTCGGCTTGGCGCAGGCCTTATGGCCTTAAATTGGGGCGATTCATGCAGCCCCATCTCTTCGGAAACATCACCTCTGCAAGGAAATCTGAAGAACGTCACTGCTCGCTTCCCGGAGATCGAAGACAGCCTGCGCGGCTGCTCTTTCAAAAGCATCATTCTTGATGCAGAGGTTGCCGCGGTAGACGGAGTCGCTCGGCTGCAGGGAGATGTGGGATATGTAGGTGTATTGTCAGGTGCTGCCTTGCTTTGAAACCGAGGACAGGCTTCTTCCGTTTCAGATCCTGGCGCGACGGCCGCGGGAAGCCACGCCCGACTCAAAGCGCTCGGACACTTGGCCAAGGGGCCTTAGGCCTTAGGGCCTTAGGGCCTTAGGGCCTTAGGGCCTTAGGGCCTTAGGGTCTTGGGATGTCTTGGGTCTTGGGATGACTAGCGGTGGACATCAAGGCTGACAAAGTGTTTGGTTTTCGATGGAGCGTTATGGACGTGTTGCATAGCGCGGGTTTTTAAAATTGAGTCGTCCGCTCACAAAATGCACAGTGGAAATCCCGGGATGCTGCACTGGCGAGGATGTTACGTTTTTTGCATTCGACTGCCTGTTTCTGGACGGGACGTCGCTGTTGCAAAAGCCACTGGTGGAAAGACTCCAGATGATGCACATCGGCCTGAGCCGGCGGCATCCTTGGTCTATTTTGGTCTAATCGAAAGTTTGACAGCCCATCACCGCCCATCTGGTCGATAGCCTGTCTTCTTGCACCGCTTTCGAGGCGCAAGGCAGCAAAGTCTGCCAAAGCGAAGAGCCAGTTGAAATTTGCCGAGGGTACCGAGTTTCAAGGTGAGGAGGACCTGCAGCAACCTGGCTGTTTGGTGCGTGCCACCGCAATGCGCAAAAAGGCTGCTGTAGCCGAGGAACGCGCTGGATGATGCGATCAAGTCCTCCACAGAGGGCCTGGTCCTCAAACAGATGGATGCGAAATACCAGAAGCTTGGCCAAAAACCACGGGGAAGCCCATGTTCAGGGTCCAGGTTGGGGGCGGCCCGCAAGCAACCGCAAAAAGGATGCACTCTGACTCCTATGCGTATCCTAATGATTACGTGTTGGTTTCCTTGTTTGCTTGTGACTTCCACCTTGAAATCAACGCCACCACGCAGATGTCCACCCAAACCAACAAAGCGCCGTTCTTCATGCCCTCAGCTTCCCCCACACGCCTCCCCCCACCCCCTGCGTAACAGAAAGTACCCCCCAGCATATACAACACACATAGTTTCAGCGCAGACAAGACACACCCAGCACACCCAATCAACAAAATCATGTACCAAGTTTCAGCGCAGACAAAGCACAGCACAAACTAGAAGAAAAATCCCATACCAAAAAGTTTGGCTGCTTGCGTTTGGAGAGTGGAGATCGTGATTTCAGCAAGCTGCAGACCGCCCCACCCGTCTCTCTGGGTAATTCCGTTTCCCCTCCCCCAAGTCCGACGCTGGCTGGAGAGAATTGCGCTGAAGGCCCGGAGTCAGGACTTCGAACTGGCTAAAGCTGAAGAAGGTCGGACACCGAATGTGGGCAAAATGCATAGGGACATAGGCCACCTTTCTGGTCCCCATTATGGTCCCAATTCTGCAGCTGCAGGACTATCTGGACAGTGCCCTCAGCTTCTGGTCACAAGAAGCGTGTGCATGCGTGTCCTCTTGCATGTTGTGAGTGAGTGTGAGTGGGAGCTTCTTGACGTGTGTGGTTCAAGAAAGGTGATTCCATTGACGCAGTGGTGGTTGGAGTTAAGCGTGGAAGTGGGAGGAGAAGCAGCGTCTACGGATCCTACTTGCTGGCGGTGAGGCCGAAGATGCTGCAGCCATGCATGTATTGGCAGGAGTTTTCGGCAGCTCAAGTTTTTTCCAAGTGTGACGTTGAAAGGGAGGGTATGTTTGGCATCTGTGCTGCAAGTGCAGGGCAAGCGACGATGTGAGACCAAGATACCAGACCTTGTGTGCAGCTGGCACGGGTCTGACCGATCAGGACGGGGGCAGATGCCCAGCCGCCTAGCCGGTGGCTTGCTGTGATGGCCACTTGTTGCGAATGTTGCGACACGTGCTGAGAGTGTCAAGAGGAGCTGGAGGAGTACTACAAGCTTTGCCAGCCATTGGTGGACGATGGTGATTCAGCCCCTGCCAGCCTGGAGACGACGGGAGCGAACCCCGCAGAGTGCCGGAGCTGGCAGCACGTGCATGATGCCGTTGGGGCGAGATTGGCTAGATTCAAGCAAGACGCTGTTTGGGCTCCATCAGGTGGCAGTGGATCTCCGATATCTCCAAGGCTCCGGTGATGGTTCCTCGGCAATCACTTCAGCAGGTCGGTTTTGCGAGTGGTGTGCTGCAGTCAAGGAGGTAGTCGGAGCTGACTTGACGATCTCCCGCATACACTCCTGTGCTGCTGGGCGACTACGGGGCTTTGGTGCGGATGAGGAGCTGGGCGCATCTGGGAGCATCTGGGAGCATGCCTGGGAAGGGATGGACGGGGTATGGGAGCACACTAGAATGCCGAGAGGAAAGCGGCCTGGCGCTGCGTTTTCCTCGCATCTTGAGATTGCGGAGTGCAGATGACAAGAGCGCGGCGAACCTTACCTGCAGACTGCAAGAGACAGGTTTGTGACAGCGGGGTTCGTTTTCTATGCATCCCTTGCGCTGGAGTTGCTCTGAGGCAGGCGACAACTGCAGAACAAGTGCTCGACATGTACGAGAAGCAGCCAGCAGTGAGTGCAGGAAGAAAGAAGCGAGCAGGCAAAAGGCATTGTGCGAGAGAGGCATTTTGTCCCTTTACGCAAAGCACGTGGAGATATGCGCCATTCAAGAGTTCTAAACTTCTAAACCCTGCAGCCTCGCGGCGGCTGCCTGTTGAAGGGTGGGCAAAGCGGGGCTATGTCAGCGAACCTCACCGTTCGAGCTCGCCCCCAGCTCGCCCCCAGCTCGCCCCCAGCTCGCCCTCTCGCAAGCCACCATCAGCCCGGCATCCTGCTGACCAAGCCCATGGCATGCAATGACCCGCCAGAAGTCGAAAATCATTTGTTCCACCTCCTTTACTCTGCCAGTGAGCCGCAAAACCCAGGTTTCAGATACTCGTCGACCTGCAAGAACAGGATTGGTGCGCATGACTTGATTTCGAGATAGAGGCTAGACTAGGGGAGAATTCAGCAAAGGGGTCCCTAGAGCTGCTTGATTCTTGATTCACAAGTGGTCTGTACCCTACAGCCACATCGGTCTGTGAATCAAAGCTCCCGTTGGTGCCGAGGCTACCGCTTTCGTGAATGCCAAGGCGGGGGAGGATCTTGGGCAAGTTGTTCGAGAATCGATGGAGCCCACGGACCTGCGCAGCAAACTGTGGAAGGCGAAGCCGATTCGCAGGGGTATTGCGTTGGCCGGGCCCACCGACCATCAGAAAGGCACGTAGGCCAAGGCGGGAGAAGTGCTAGTGAGTGGCCTGGTGGCTCCTTGCAGGCAGTTCGTCTCCCAGGCCAGAAGTGCTTGAAATGAAGAAGTGTACGACCACAGTGATGTTTAAGGTGCGTTGGGCTGGCTCCTGGCAGGTCCTGAAGCAATGGCCGGAATTCAGACCTATTCACATACACTCGAGGCGAGTGTTCCGTCACGGGCTGACGCTGCTGGAGACCCAAGCTTTGCTGTGACAGCTCTGGCTGGCTCCATCAACAACAGAGAGAGAGGGAGAGGGAGAGGGAGAGGGAGAGGGAGAGGGAGAGGGAGAGGGAGAGGGAGAGGGAGAGGGAGAGAGAGGGGCAGCCTTCCCTTCGAGGGGGGCTAAGCGTGCAGCAGGGAGAGAGAGAGAGAGAGAGAGAGCTTCAGGCTGCAGCGTGGTGAGCTCCTGGATCCTGCAAAGCTGCCGTGCCTTGACTTGGCAAGGACCTGCAGACAGGCGTTAGCTGACCGTGCCAGGACAATCCAGATGGAGCCTTCTGAGCCCGAAGATCTCCTAGCATGCTCGTGTGCTTGCCATGCAAAGAAATGGCGCCGGCATTGTCGAGGAAGTGCTCAGGCTTGTTGGCATGTGCGGATCTTCAAGTACACACCCGCCCATCCTGTGTCTGGTCAGACCAGTCTGCGGAGTATGCGCGCAGACAGATACCATGGGGCAGCACAAGTTGACAAGAGAAAGCTACTCTGCTTAGGCATGCTACCAGCTGCTACCAGGCACTGTATTCACTGTATTCTGCATGCGGTCACAAGTCTGACATGTCTTCAAGGCTTTGAAGGTCCCTTGCCATGAGCCACAACGGCTGCGGCACCTGCAAGTCCCAGGCTTGACATGCTCAGTTTCTGGGGGTTCGGCTTTTCCAGCGAGGAGGACTCCACAAACTTCGAGGTTTCGCCAGAGGTCGATGGCCCAGCTAAACAAGGCTATGAGACGCCCCCAGCTTTGGGGTCCCTGCCGCAAAAGGGCCGCAGCTGGGCCAGCAGCGTCCTTGAGAGCTTCCGTGTGGATACTAGGCTCGACAGCCGAACGAAGTCGCCAGGTGAGGAGGATTTGGAGAGCTCCAGTCTTGAAGCCTTTCGCAGCTTCACGCGCCGAGCGCACCAGCTTCTGGCCCGTCAGCACCACCGGGCGCTGGTGAGTCGAAGGGGGGCAGCCCATGAGAATTCCTATGCCACAGAGAGGCTGAGCCTGGCCCTCGCTGAGGCTGATGAATTGGAAGAGGTTCTGAAGCAACACAGTCAGCACAGCAAAGGAGCAGGAGCTGGAGAAGACCATACCAGTCCCTCTGATCTTTGCGACACGGAAAGGCTCACCATATCTGGCATGTCTGGTTGGTCAACATCCGCATCATCGTCTACCAAGCCTACTGAGTTGCTTTGCAGATGGGAGTCCGAGGATGCCGATGCCCGGCAGGAATTGGAGACCCTTCGGACATGCATGTCGCAGACGGCCGGTGAACTTCGTTCCGGCTTGCTACGCCTTGCTTTCTCCTCACCGGACCCCGGTGATGAGGATGGGGCCGGGGGCAATTCCAGCTTGTGCCAAGTCTTGTCAGCTGCCTTGCCACAGCTCGTCCAAAGCTGTGCCGATGCTATGGAAGTGGGCAGTAGTGAAGATGATTGGGCAGCAGCAGAGGCCAGTCTGTTTGAAGCCCTGGCGCAAGTTACATCTGCAGCATGCGACTCCCCAGCAGACTTGGACTTCCAACTCCAGGAAGATGCCTTTGCAGGGCATCACTTCACAGCCAGTGCAGAGGAGCAACGCGATCACACCGCGCTGCACAAGTTGCTGGGCAAGTTGGATGCTCTCAGCAGGCAGCTCGAGCTGGAAGCCGGAGAGAATACCAGCACCAAACAGACTGGCCATTTGGGCCATACCGCAGCAGCCTCAGCACGCCTAGCAACCTCGAATCGCCTGGCGGAGCTCGAGGCACAGGTGCAGCGAATGGTGGCCGAAAACCAGGCTCTGGAGGAACAGTTGCATCAGCTCCCAAGCCGGGACGCCATGGCAGCCATGGACGCCCAAGAGGAGCCTGAGCGCGAGCCCCTGCAGCCCGTGCAGCCCCAGGAGCGAGTCTTCAAGGAGCAGAAGCCGCAGATCGAGCGCATGGGGTCCAGACGTGATACAGGCCGGGTGCACGTTCGAGCACGCCCCTTCTGGGATATTCCTTATAAGCATCCGTGCAATACATTGCAAGACATAAGACATGCCAGTACCACAGCTCCTCAGCTCCTCTGTGACGCTGTGCGCATCTGTGCGTCTGCTCTGCAGGCCGAAGGTTGTCGCCAGCAGCTACTTGGATTGAGAGCTTTGTGACCAGCTGAACTCACTCCTAAAACTGCTAAAGCCGTCGCTCAAAAGCAAGCTGAGCGTCAGTGGCCAAGGAACGTGTGGCATTGAGCAATCATTTCCGGCAGAGAGGCATCCAGCACTTTCATTCTTCCAAGGGTGTTGTCTGGTCGCCTGCCAGGCAACAGACAGAATGGTGCTGTGCAAAGGGCTTACAGTCGGAGCTCTTGCGGTCAGAATCGTAGATTTCCCTTAGAAGCTGTTGGTACCTACCTTGGCAGAACCAGAGCTGTAGAATCATGTCGGGACACATATCCGGGATCATGTCGGATTCAGGCCCGGGCGAAACTCCGAGCCAACGAAGCGCTGCCCTGACATGCCGAGTTGCAGGATGCGCCGTGCGCAGAACCAGGGCATCTTAACCCACGCTTTGAGGCAGATGAACGATCTGCGCTTGGAGCTTGCCGAAGTCTACGAGGCATCTTTAGGCACACGTTGTGACATGCGAGACAGAGTCTAAGCTCAGGCATTGGCCTCGGCGGCTCGGCTTCAGCCTCAGCACCGGAAGGGGCGAGTCTCAACCGGCGCGCAACACTAAGCAACATTATTCAGCAACCTGTCAATCATCAAGTCATTCAGGCGTTCGGCCGTGCACGAGGTTCCGACAGGCGCACCATGGTGCACCTTCTTGCATCAGCACGGAGCTTAACTCACGAATTCCATCGAAAACCGTCCCTGTGGGAGGCTGGCAGACCAAAACCGACAATGAGCTCGAGGCGCAAGTCACATTACGATGGGCTGTGCTGGGTCTGCTTCACAGGTCCAAATGTCCAAAACTGCTTGTTTGGCTCAAGCTGGTCGTCCCACAGCAGCAAGCCGCAGACATGGCGCTGCTTTCCTTTGGGCAGATCAGCTGCAGCCAGGTGAATTCGAGCGATGGCCATAAGCCTGCCTTTGACACAACTGAATCGGACTCACCACATGCGTCAGATAGCTGCAGGTCTGCGCCTGGTGCAAGAGCGCGTGCTCTCCAGCGCTCCAGGCGGGGGTGGGGGGGGGGGCCCATCTTGCGGCCTTCGCCCATCTTTGAAAGTTTTTCATTTTCTTTGATTGATGAAGCGCCCAAAATCCCCACAGTGCATAAGTCTGTGGCTTTGGAGATCACGTCATTGTCGGGAAGTCTGGCGATGGGCGTGATCGGACAAGTCTGTGGCACTTGTCCAGGCCCCCAGATCGCGGCACTTCGCGGCCTTCAGGGCTGCCTCAAGGCAGCTTGCCGAGACTCCGAGAGTCCCCCCTCCTCCTCCTCCTCCTCCTCCAAGTCTCCTTGAGGCACCATCACCACGGCTGTCGCAGCCACCGTCGCAGCCACCACGGCTGGGGTGGTACCTGGGCGCGGGAGAGGCGGAACCGCAGTCTTTGTGGGCGATGGTCGCTCCTTTCAAGCGTTCCCGTCTTGCGGTGACTTGCAGGGATAATGTGGTTGCTTCGCCGTAGTTTGGGAAAGGCCGAGGGTGGGTACGACACAAATCTTAGGCAAAATTCTGGCACGCTTCGAGGTCCGATGTCCCTTGGACAGTTTCTTCACTCATTCAAAGGAGGGCAATTTGTAACAGCCGGTTTGTCACTGCACGCAATGTCGGAGGTGCACTGTGGTTGTTTGTCCTCGATGCGGCACAGTTCGTGTTCAGTAGTCCATGGCCATGCCTGGTTTGGCAGTCGATGAAGTCCACGATCTAGCCCCGAAACGCAAAAGGAAGAGATCCGGACTCTGGGGCGGCAGAATGCGGCAGAAATGGGCAGAAACGCCGTGTGGGGTTGTGTTCTTCTTTTGTAAGCATCATCGCCGGGGGCTGGCTCTGGTTGCTTAACGGCTGGGGCGTAGATTCGGCTCGAACTGCTTGGGGCTGGGGAACAGAGAGCGGATGCGTCTGGGGGATAGCTCCAGCATGCCTCGCTGCATGGAGGTTCCAGGCCCGCGCGGCCCATGAGGGCCGGGACGATGAGATCGGCACTTGAGGAAGAGGTCTCAGCTGCGGTGGAGGCTGCTGCGGTATCGTGAAAGGTATTGTAGCACCGGAGATGACAGGGCGTGCTGTGAGTGCATGCAAGGTGGTTCAGCGTTCGATGCGGTGCTTTGGTCGCAGTTGGTGGAGGGAGATGTTTGACGGTCTTAGCTGCTCGAAGGCTCGTGCAAGCTCTCGCCTGCGACATGGAAGCAACTTCGCTGCAGTAGCGGCCAGAGTAACGGCTAAGTCGAAGTGTTTCTGCCGTGTTTTCGCGGACTGACCATGGGATTGAGTCTTTTGTGTCCTTCACAAGTAGCGGATTGAAGCTACATGCACGAATTCGCACGATCTCTCGTGCGTACTCTAAGTACTCTGTCAAGCTTTGCCAAGTGGAGTTCTAAGAGTTCGGAGGTTGCTCGGCACAAGGTTCAGCCTTGAGGCCTTGAGGTAGTCCCAGAGGGCCAGCACTGTACGTCGGTACAGAGGTTTGCCTTGGTGGTGTTGTTGGGTGCTTATTGAGGTCGCTCCAGCAAGCTCGGGGAAGGAGATGGAAGCATGTGATGTCACGGCTGGCATATCTGCCATCAAGCCAGGCGCTCGTTCCAAAATTCGCTACGCCTTGCCGATTGCAGCAATCTGGATGTTTCTTGTTCAGGTGACTCGACGCCTGTGACAGCAGCAGACTTCGCCATTCAGGGTCTTGTTTTTGAAGCCCTGCAGAAGCAGCTGCCCGCTTTGAACATAGACATATACATAGGGTCGGTATGTGTCAGTGACATATTCATCGCATCACCTCAGAGCTCACGCACGATGCTCTCAGGTTTCCCGCTGACGGTTTCATGGGAGAAGAGGATGCTGCCGAGCTTCGAGCGGACCCCGATCTTTGCCGGCTGGCTCTGGAAGCTAGGCCAAACAGGGCCAAGCTTGCCGTATCCTACATGGCAGTTCCCTGTCTTTCGGTTCGGCCTACACAGCCTAAGGAGCTCTGCTCGAGATTTGGCTTCCTGGCTTTCAGATAGTTTTCAGATGTCTCTAGAAACTTCAGATATTCGGTGCCAATGCCCGTTTGTCAACCGGTCTGGACTTCAGGAAACAGCACTCTCACACAAGAGTCCTTCCTAGCTGCTGTGGACGCGGGGCTGGACCCGCTGCAGGAGAAAGAGAACGATCGCATCTGGGTGAGCTTGTCAGGGGGTCAGCTTTTGAGGGCCTTAGCTTGCAGGCATTGGCTGGCTCAGTGACTTATTTGACTCGTGTGCGCCAGGTGCTCGACCCGATCGACGGCACCAAGGGCTTCATGACAGGTCAGGGATATATGATTGGCCTTTCCCTTCTGATGGATGGCGAAGCCATCATAGGGGTAATGGGCCGCTGGGTTTGTATTTGGCAACAGTGTCAGCTACAGAGCAGATGCCACTAGTGGAACAGTTCGACATCCACTGCAGCTCAGCCAAGGCAATCCCAACGTGACTCAGCAGACTGGGGCGTTGTTTTGCAGTTCGGGCGACACTTAAAACGACGCCTCCCCTGACCTTACTACAAGTAGCAGTGGCGTGAGAGAGGAGCCAATCTTTCAGAAGACGTCAGAGAACCCAGGCGGTGACGACCCCGCCGATCATGCTCGCTGCGCCTCGGAGGCACGTTGGAGTCCTGGAACGACATGGCTTCGGGCCCTTCATGCTTTCGGCGTCCTTTCGGCTTCTTTCACGCTCAGGTAAAGGGCAGGGGTCTCCGCTGGTGGCCTGCAGAGGGCACAAGTCCTCTGCCGTACGAGCCCTCAAAGCCGAAGTGGGCAGCTCAAGGCCTTCCGGGTGTGGCTTCCGCAAGTTCGCTCTCGACTCCAGACTCTGGAGCGTCTCGACGCACATCCATGTCTCTCCATCTGTCCGCTGCAGTTCTGCTCTGATACTTGCCAGATTTCAGAACCTTGCCGTCATCCGCAGCAACTCTGCAAGAAGGCCAGCAAGCCTCACGAAGCGGAGCGCAGACGCATTGACCTGAGCTTGTGTCGAGCAAGGTCGTGACTACCCTCCCTGGCTGCTTTCTCCACAGAGCATGCGGTATGCCTGCAGGCGTGGTTCTGTCACGACTGCCGAATTACTTGTGGAACATTGTGGAACTTGTCTGCTTGCAGGCCCTTCGGTGACGCGCCCGCATCAGATTTGTCACTCAGCTTTGACCATACATCAGTGTCGATACTGGAAGCGAACGCGCAGAGCTGGCAGGTGCTGCGGCTCCATGGTCAAATACTTTGCTGTGGCTGCCGGAACTCATTGTGGATATGTGGCTTGCAAGCAGCCACTTCTGGCCAGGAGCTCGCCGTCCAAGAAAAGTCGCTTATCGCCTATGCCTAAGGTGCAATACGAGGAGCAGTTGAAAACGTGGGACCATGCGTGCTGCCTGCTTGCAGAAGCTGTAGAGTTCCCTTCCCTGGTCCCCAAAGCCCTGCAGAAGAAAGAAGAATAAGAAGCAGAAAAGAAGAAGAAGAAGAAGAAGAAGAAGAAGAAGAAGAAGAAGAAGAAGAAGAAGAAGAAGAAGAAGAAGAAGAAGAAGAAGAAGAAGAAGAAGAAGAAGAAGAAGAAGAAGAAGAAGAAGAAGAAGAAGAAGAAGAAGAAGAAGACAGAAGAGAAGAAGGAGAGAGAGCGAGAGAGAGAGAGAGAGAGCCTTCTCGTCCGAAGTGTCACATGGACCGTGGACGCCGTGGACCATATCGCGTGGCTGGGCGCACCCAGTGCGCGGGGAAGGGGGCACCCTTCCTCAGGCCCCGTAGAAGAAGAAGAAGAGGAAGAGAGACTTGGTAGCCCAGTGGTACCCTTCTGCCCTTTTTTTGGCGATTGTAAAGTTACTGGGCTGCCAAGGAGATTAAGCCCTTAGACAATTATTGTACACGTATCCTTGTCGTCAAGCCACCGGCCGTGGGGCACCCTGCGCAGTCAGTCAGTGCATCGCTGAGTGTTTGGGGATGGCGTGTCGCGTCTACGCCCTGTAGACCCCTTGAAAGCCTAAGCTTGAAGCTGCGGTTCCAAGGTGGCATCCTCTGTGTCGAGGAGTCTGGCGGAGCCGCATGCGTTACAGACGCGGCTGGCGAGCCCGCGCTCTGCTCAAGATGTGGCACATCTCTAAACAGTGGCTAATAAAGCAGGGAGTCACACCGAATCAGTCTTCAAGTAGATGTGGCCATAGTCAGTCGTAGGTGTTATGGCAAAGTTAGTTCTCACCGCTACCCGGCCCGCCTTGGGCCTGCCCAGCGGCGAGGCAACCGTTGTGCAATCATTCCCTTTTGGGGATGCTATTGCAACAGGTTCATGTGCAGACCAGTCACCCCAAATGTGAGGAGGGTCTGCGGGGGCCTTGACGTGTCCGCCCTATGGTGGGGCTTAAATGTCCCCTGGTCCTGATGCACCGCCCGCTCCCGGACAGGAGGGTTCCCATTCCGGGCAAAAAGTGCCAAACAAAGGCGCAGGCTTTTAGAATTTTAGAGCTGACCTGCTTCATGCTCCCCATACGCCCACGGCCCGAGGCCTCGGCGGATTCATGTGGGCCAGTTTATGCGAAACTCCTTACTAGCAAGCATGCTAGCAAGCATTGATCCCTGTCAGCAAGGTGCGCTTCTTTGGCCGATGCTTGGTTGAATGCATATATCTCAGAAGATGACTTGTGCGTGTCGGACATCTCTCGAACACGGCATAGGCACAGCCTCACCGTGATTCGAGCTAGATCCAGGCAAGTTTTCAGTGTGCGGCGGCATCGTTTCATGCTCGCGCTGGTGCCGACCAGAGATGCGAGAGCTTCTCCTTCAGGCAGTACTCAGTAGCCACAGTGACTGCAGTTGCCATTGTCTCTGCAGTGCCGCGCTGCGTTGCTTTGCTTTGTCATGACATCACCCATACCGCGACTTCTGTGGCACTAGCCGCCACTTGAATCGGAGGGTTGGGCAGAATGGTCAATGGTGAAGAACATGACCAGTGCTTCGCCTTTCGCACCTGCTCAGGCTGCTGCAGGAAATGCATCCTAGAGGAGTAAACGAGTGAAACGGTGAATGGGAAGTGTGAATGGCCAAAGGAGCCCCATGGCATCGAACAGATGCCCGCACTCGTAGTTTGCCAAGGGCCCCAAAGCTTGGGCCATCTTCAATTTTCGAAAAAAGTTTGCATAAGCCTTGACGGAAATTGCCCCACGGTGCAGCATCATGCAGCAGTGAAGGATTCGGCCGCCACACGAGCCACAGCTGTCAATGCAGGTGCCGGATGTTGCAGCTATTGTTTTTCGCAGCCCCCCGCAGGGACCCCAATCACTGAGCCCGACAGTGCACAGAATGCTCCAGGACCTTGCGGTACTCGTCTGGGAGTGACGGTGTGGCAGAGTCTGGCCATGTTGTGCACAGCGCCGCATGTTGCGATGAAGCCTTTTCCATTCTTGTGTTGAGGTGACATGGCGAGAAACCTTCACGCCTGAATCGTTCTTGCACCTGGTTTCTCATAGGCGCTCCAGAAGAAGAGCTGCCAAATGCAAGTCGTAACGAAGTAGTGAAATGTCTGAAATGTCGCTGAATGTCGCTGAACAGGCCGAGGCTTCGGTGGGGTTAGAGGGGACACAGTCCACTGGGCTGCTCGACTTCTCTCAAGCCGGATCCAGGTTCAAACATCTTGTGAGCGCCGAGCGGCTGTGGTGGTTGCAGACGTTGTGGCTTGTTGTAACCGTTGTAACCGTAAGATTGGTACCATGATGCAGTCAAGGTAGTCTGGCAGCCGACTCTTGGACTCAAGGGCTCAAAGTGGCCAAGGGGACAGCAGCACCTGCAGTCCAGTCCAGTGCATGCATACCTGTACATTCCTGCGGCAGCACTAAATAGCGCGACCGCTACCACCCAGCAACAAGCACAATCCAAACTGATCCAAGCTGCAAGACCTCCTAGCAAGTTGCGCAGCTGCGATGGCAGTAGCAGCAGATGAGCGGATGACAGATGACACGTCAAGGAGCCACCGCCTGCCTGAGCTTCCATGCTTGCCTGTACCTTGAGTGCTATCATTTCCACCAGGATGGTCGTCCAGCGCCTTAAGAGCCTGTACATGGACCTGCTCAGGCCAACATGTTTGCCTTCCTTGTTTCGGATGGCTTCTTCGGCTTTTTCTTGCGAGGCCCATCGAGGTGGACAGCTTCTTCTTGCACTTCAACAGCGAGTCGACCTTGACAGTCTCAGAACTCGAAGCACGACCGCAAGTCTTGCTGATTGGCCAGCTTCTCGACTGCATCACGTTGTTGTGTATGGCAGCCTCTGGAGACCCATCGCAGTGGCCGGATTCGGTGATGAAGTGCATGCTGACGGTACTTTCTTAGATCCATTTTCAATCGAACTGCATTTGCCTCTCTTTCTTCAAGTAAGGAACGAAGTACAGAAGCCCTAGTTAGAGCATGATTGCAAACAGGCCAAGCCTTGAGTGAACCACCTGTAACACAATGCCTGGCATCCCTGAATGCCGAAGCGGCTGGAATCCTTCTGAGTGCCACGAATGCCTAAGTGCGGCAACGCCAGGTCCCGGGTATGAGGCTGGACTAGACAATTCGCCTGGGGTGGTGGGTGTCAGCTGTGGGGCTGCCCATGAATCTAGAAAAACCTCAGCGACGTTTAACAGCAGGTCCCTTATAGGCTTCAAAAGGAACGCGAAGTCCCACGTGAGAGGACGTGGCAGCCCAACACGTCCGGGACATGATATCTCTCGTTGTGAAGGTGTTTAGGGAAGGGAATCGCTCAGTCGACGACTGCTGGAAACGATGACATGATGGCTAAACTTGGGTACAGACATCGGTGTCCAAAGCGCTGTAAATAGCAGCACATCGTTGTTTTCGAGACAAGCCCCGCGTCGCATGCCCGCAAGTGATGCGTTTGCAATGAAGCTGCAGGTGCAACCGTGACCGCCAGTATATGCAGTGACCATCACTGACCGAGGTACAGCACCGGCAAGACCTCACTTATTAAGTGGGTTACGGGAATCGAAAGCCCGTTCTTCGACATCCGGCCCCAGCCGAGCACAGACAAGTTCATGGCAGTTGTGCACGGAGACGAGGTTGGTCAGTTTGTGGACAGACAGTGACAGACATTTGCACGCCAGTGCGCACCAGTCCACCCCAGCGAGCGCGTAGGAGAAGGTCATCAACGGAGATGCGGCCACTTTCTTACGCAGGGAGTACTGAGTACCATCTGTCAGTGCAGCCTTGGCTGTTTTCAAGAGTGACGTGTTAGACTCTCCAAGACACATTGGCCGCCAAATTCATTTGGCAAGATTGAGCGCGTGCACCATTTGTGTTGCACCAGGCGACCTGCTTGCCGGATTTGCCTTACAGTGGCCTCTCCCGTTTTGGGTCGTCTTTCCTTGGAAAGTGACCCAGCTCAGAATGAATAGCTTCAGATGATTGGCATTGGGGATCTGGCTTGCTTGCAAGGTCCCTGCACGTCCTGACTCTTGCCTGCCAAGGTTCCAGGTGTTAGTGGAGAGCGCGGACATCTTGAAACAGGCCCAGTGAGAGTGCAGATTCGGGTTGGAACGCCACCAACGCAGCCTTGATTCAGCATGATTCAACCGCGCAGATCACCTTCATCGACACGCCTGGTGTCTTGTCTGGGGACAAGCAACGCATCAGCCGTGGCTATGACTTTATGAAGGTCTGTCGGTGGCTGGCTGCACGTTCTGATCTGATCCTGCTGCTCTTCGATGCCCACAAGCTCGACATCTCCGACGAGTTTAAGGAGGTCATCGAGTCCATCAGAAGCGACGGAGACAAGTGCAGGTGTGTCCTGAACAAGGCGGATGAGATCGATGGCGAGAACCTGGTCAAGGTCTATGGCGCTTTGATGTGGAATCTCGGCAAGATCCTCCAGACACCGGAGGTGGCGCGTATGTACGTGGGATCCTTCTGGGACGAGGAGTACAAGTGCAAGGATCTGGAGCGGCTCCTTAATCAGGACTGACACCAGTGGCGGAGTCATCTTTAGGCCATCTTGCGCTTTAACGCTTCAGGACCGGAAGGACCTGCTGCAAGAGTTGCGGGACCTTCCTCGGAATGTCTGCGTTCGGAGGGTTAATGAAATCGTGGCCCGGGCGCGGGCTGTCAAAGTCCACCTCGCGCTGTGCGGCGCGGCATCATATTTTTCTGTAAGATGCCTTTGTGATGCCTTTGTGATGCCGTTGTGAGTGCGATCAAAATCAGGCTGTGCCCTGCGGGCTCGTCTACCCACATTTGGGTTCTGCGGCCGGCGGCATCGCCATCAGCTGTGGCTGTCGGAGCATCTGCCCGAGGTCTATGCCGAAGTCATGACGCTTTCTTTTGCACAAGGTGGCATATTGAACCCCGTGACAATGCACATGCCAGCGTAAGTTCAACGCAAGGTGCAGCAACCTGACACTGTGGGCCTAGAGCCTATAGCTTGTGCAAACATTGTGAGCTCGACTTAGGAAAGACTATGAGCTGCTTGGAATTGTTGGCAGTGTGCTCATGCTGTAACTTTGAAGACAAGCTGTGTATGCAGTGCATGTCATGACTCAGCACTTGGCCCCCGCTTCTGCCGCCCTGGACGTTTAGATGTGAAGATCACAGATGGACCTGCTGCTCGGCAGGTTTGCGCCCGGCGACATGCCCCATGTCGAGTATTTTGGCCAGCGCCTGCGTACCTTCAAAGATTTCAGGTCCTTTCAGAGGCGTGCAGCATCTCGATATGCCGAGGGCTAAGAAGACAAAAGCCTTGAAGCCTCGCCGAAGCAGTGGCAGGTCCTGCAAGGCACAGCAGGAGATGCTGGACCGGCTGATCGCCACAGAGATCCCACGCCTCATGGCCATGGTTGGTGGTGTCTCTGCGTCGGAGCTGGGCCAGAAGGCGTGTCATGGCGTGTTGTTGCTTTTGCAGTATGCACGATGATGAGAGAATGCTCGTTTCGGGCTCTTGCAACTACACCTTGCTGCCACCACCAGGTCAATGGCAAGTCCAGCGCTTTCACATGGAGCAGTTCGGTGACACGACCATCTGCTGGCCTCAGCCTTGTGGGTAGTAGTTTCGTGAAGTGCGTCGTCTCTGCCACTGCAGAGTCCCTGATTGGAGCTTGTGAAAGGTCTGGACAGTGGCCGTTCCCGATGCTGCCCTGTCTGTCTACTGCTCTTCCTCACACTCGCCCCTTGCCACAGGACTAGCTGAGCAAGTGTAACCGCCTTGAATCTGTCTTACAGTCTCGAAAGCACATGCTGAGGCTGTCCTCGTGCTTGCAGCTGTTGTTTTTGTTGGTCGTATGGGCCCTGAGGAGGCCAGGACCTCGGAGAGCTCTCACTTTCCTAGGGCACGTAGGAACCTAGCACCCGAGTTTCCGGTTGCCAGTGCAGTGCGCATCTTGCCAGGCAGTGGCTGCGCTGGAGCAGTTCGCGAATCTCACCGGGAACCTAACAGGGAATTTGACGGCGCTGCGATTTCGGACGCAGCAGCTTCTTCGTGACCCTCGGCAGCAGCTTCAGTCCTGTCACGTGTCCACATGCCTCGATCGACGAACCTTAGCTGCGAGGACTTCACCGGAGAAGAGCTCTGAGTTGAAGTGGCAAGTGTAGAGTAGTGTAAGAATAATGTAGATTGCTGGCCGCATCTGGCCGAACCTGCAGGTAGGTGCCAAGCTGCAAAGCTGCAGGATTGCAGGCGACGAACAGGTACAGGGTATGGTGATGTCTGCTGAGTGAGGCATTTGGCGAGGCATTTGGTTCGCAAGCTTGGTGAGTTCCTCCCAGCTACGTAGTCAAGCTGCCGTGGTGCGGCCTTGAACCGAGTACCACGTGTCATACACCTGTGGCAACCCGTTTTGAGTTGCTACGTCTGGCTCGTGTGGCTAATGCGAGAAGGCTGTAAACTTGCGGCCTGCTCAGAGCGCAAAGCAGCCAAGTGGAAAGTTCAGAGTTGCCGGACCTGGGGACATAGCAGTAGAAGCAAGGAGCTATGAAAGCTAGTCGATTGGTCCTGTATGGAAACATTCGACTCGGGCTACACCTGGGTGCTGTCTTGCGAGGCATGGACCCCACCTGAAGCCTAAACACCCTGCGGTCGAACTGTCGCTGCATCATCTCTTTTGTGCAGTGACTTGTGGGTTAAAGCTGCATTTACCAGCCAACGTCGGTTCCTTTTGGCCCGCAGGCAGCAAGGGAGTAGCTGCGTAGCTGGAATCCTCTGCCTTGGGCCACGCATGCTTCGCAAGCCAGACTCAGCCAGCTGCCAGACCCCCTATACTCCAAGGTACGATGCCAAATCGTAGGACCTGTTATAAGTTTTAAGTTTTAAGTTTTAAGTTATAAGTTATAAGTTATAAGCTGCAGCCACTCTAGCATGACTGCTTTAGACCATGGCGCTCTGTGCTGACACCGTTCGATGCATCACAAGTTGTGCATGTTCTTTGGCTGCTTATCCCGTGGGCCGGTCTTTGGAGTGTCTTGCGAGCCTGCTAGGCACATGCCACGTTATCCTCGGTTCCTCTGTGTTCCACCAGGGTTGCTCTAGATCTTGTGGGAAGCTGTGGAAGGGTCTGGGTTGTGACTCGAGCCTCGTTGCCAACATCGAGACAAGGTTCTGCAGAACATGATGTTCGATTTCGATGACCTGGAGAGAGTGCTGTCCGAAGACGAGGCCTTCTTGGCACTTGTGGATTCAATGCTGCCCCCGACTTTGTGTAGGCAGAGAAGTCGGACAAGGAGCACCGCGAGCGCAAGCAGGCCGAGGGCCCCATGAAAGGGCATCCTGTATTCAAGAAAACGTTGAACACTTGTGCTTCGCCATCGAAGATGAAGCGGCCAGGTGCCCTGCCGGCCAGCACGTCGCGCCGAGCACCATGGCGACGAGGGTCGCACAGCCTGGCCCTTAGTGCTGCTCGAGGGTTTCAAGGTTCCCGGCCATTTATTTGCAGGGTGTTTGTTCAGGATTCATTGGCCGATAGCAGCTCGGCATGGTTGCAATCTGGATCTGCCTAGTGTGCAGAGTCCAGATGAAAAACGGCCACTTTGGGACAGTGAGGTGCGAATCTGGGCCATATCCGATCTCCACACCGACGACCCCAAAAACAAGGCCGCTAATCGCTTTCCTGCACTTGCGGTGGAGCCAGCTTGCTGAATCGCCTTCACGGAAGGAGTGGCTCGAACACATCGACACCAAAGACACGGCCAACGATGTCATCATAGCCGCACGAGCAGCAGCAAGTGAAGTCAAGTGAGCCGTTTTTCCAGGGTGCCAACTGCCTTGGCAAAAGCCTGACTGTGCAAGCATGCCGCCCAGGTAGCTGGGGACATTTCTCACAAGTGGGCATCTCAAACTGTCGTGGAAGCTGCTTTCCCTAACAGGAAAACATTTGGCTGCTTGCCCATGCTTCTGGCTTAGCCGGCTTTTGCGACAGACCTGCTTGCTGTTGTCTCGATCATCTCTGTCTCACATGTTACAGTCTGTAGCAATAGTGTCACAGACAGGTCTGTGTCAGACGGGTTGCGCGGGCAACAGGGGGTTTTAGCACCAAAGCAGTCCAGCTCAAAGGTGGGAAGTCATCCGCGGCACCTTGGCCTTCTTCAAGGCAGCGCAGCGGGGCAAAGAAGGTTTGTGTTTGGCATGTTTGGCTGGAAGGAGCACTACGCCAGGGTGTTCTATGTGCCTGGAAACCACGAGTTGCAAGCTCAGAAGCACGTGGCACTTGGAGAGTACTTTGGGAATCTTTGAGTATTATACGTAGACTGATAAATGTGGTTTGCGATTCGGTGTTGCCACATGCTCTTGGCTTGGGCATCTCGCATGAACCGAAGCAGCGGTCGCTGCGGACCTCTTGGGGACGCAGTGGGCTGCGCCTGTTTGACAGACAAAGAGCCATGTTTCTTAGGGGACAAGAGCGCGCATGGCGACCCAAGTATAAGCAAAGATGAGGGTTGCGGAATTTGGTTTGGGCTAGGCCTCGGAGTTGCATCAGACGGTAACGGTCGGCTCAAGTAACTCCTCTCCAAGCAACTGTTCGCAGCCACGCCCGGCGCCATGGATAAAGCTGGTCGACGGCATGAGTCTCAACAGCAGGTGTGCGTATCCATGTTTGCTCGGTTCACTCCATTCAGCTGCGTGCTTGTGCAGTCCAGCAGGAATGTTGAAGCTGTGTAGCAGTGTAGCTGTCAGAACGATTGTAATCAAAAAAACACGCTGTTGCAAGGGTGCGTGCCAGTTTCGGGCATCAACTTTTCTGTTTCTGCACGGGCTTCGTGTTGTGTAGTTGCAGAAGACGCAGTGCCGTTGTTTTTTCGTTTCGGATGTGTTCCGGCCATTCCAACTTTTGCGCGCAGTGTGTTCCCAAATCGTTCTCACTGCTTAGGCAAAGGTGCTTTCGAGGTCTTTTCTTAGATGGCATGTTTTCTTAGGTTAGCTGCGTTTAGCTCATGAGGTTTGCGACGAACGTTTTTGAAGCTCGCACTCCTGACCGGTGTAAGTCTGTGCACAAAAAGCGTCGCATCGCTTGCACAAACTTGTCGCAGAATTGCTTACACGCGTAGACAGTGTGGCCCGAAGGACGGACGTGCCAGCAAGTCTCTGGAAGTCCTTCGATCGTGCCTGGTCATCCCGGCCCCAGCGCGTGGGAGCCTGGGCAGAGTGGGAAGAGCTGCAGGAGCAGCTGTGGAGTGAGTTGGCATTGGTGGATGACAGCCGGTCACTTTGCGAGCTTTTTCATGACTTGGCCAAGAGTGAGGCCTTCAAGGAGCCCCTCGGCTGATGTTGAGAGCGGGATGTAAGAATGCGCAGTTTGCTACTGCGACTCTGCGCATCTGGTGGCGAGGCTTTGGGTTGGAGGGGCGCGTGGACCCTTCCTGCTCCCACGCCTGCAATGTGTCGAAGGAGCCTTGGCCTGGCTCCGGCTTTCAAGAAGCCCAATGTGTGAAAGTTTGTTTGTTTTTGGGCCACCGCCGGCACAGACCAGTGCAAGCACGGCAAGCGCAACGTGGGGGAGCCTATCGTGCTGGAGCCTGTGTGCAGCCTCGGCATGTGGCACACACCTCCAGGCACCCCAGACCGACTGATGGACTTCAAGTCAGATTATACTGTAATCTAGAATACTCAATGTCGGGAGATGGAATCCATGAAGCGCGAATGGATGAGTACTACTATGCTGATTGGAGACGCAACACAATATCAAACGGCGGGCAGGTTGAGGCAGCAATGTTTAGCAATGCATCTGAGCCGGATGTTGCAGCACGCAACTGCGTACACCTACACAAGTGGTCGGAGTCAAAGCATGGCACCCTCCACATGACATAACATGAGCCAGATAATGCAGACTTCAGGCCAAATGTGTCAATATCCGGTTGTTTGGTGTCGCACAGGGCGTAGGATCCTTCAGCGCTGCTTGTCTACACATTTTCTTGATGCCTGCGCTTCTCATCAGGGCTTCTGCATTAGATGTCGTGAGCCACAGTTGCCATAGTTGTTTTCAAAGGTTAGTCGCGATTAGTTAGTCGTTGTTGCTGCTTCTGCCGTGAAGACGTAACACTGTAGCAATGCTCGTGCATGAACTTTGCAGACGCACGCACACACACACACATAGCTTGTCCAAGAAGTAAGTGAGGGTAGGGTTGTAGTGGCCCATTTTGCCCATGCGCATGTACTCACTGCGGGACCGCGACTTGACGCCCTTGGACGAGGGAGTCGCAGCTGCTCAGGCAGCAAGGGTCGAGCCATGGCTGGCAATGTGGTCCGAGAGGAAGGAGAAGCCAAAAGTACCAAGCGCAAGGTCATCCCAGTCATCTCGTTCCTCTCGCCCGGGAATCCCGGCAGCTGCCCAGCTGTATGGCAAGGCAAAGGGGCGGGATGTACCACCATTGACCGGAGATCCTTCTGCCAGGCCAAGCAGTGCGAACGACACAAGACAGCCTGATGAATGGACTGAGGGGCCGAGCCACGTTGGCGAGCTTGAGCAATTGAGAGCAGAGTGTGCTGAGCTGAAGGCATCTTACAAGGACTTGAAGCTTCGGTTTGACAAACGTGGCCTGGAGATCTCCAGGCTTCATGACAAAGTTCGCAAACTGGAGAAGTCAGCTCAGGCCAATGCCCCACAGAAAGAGCCCGCGTGGACAGGGTTATTTCTTTGTCGCCAGAAGTGCTGCATTCCATTGATTCGTCTGGAAAAGGCCGGTCTGAACGTAGAGCCCGTGCGCGAGTTGGACGCCAAATGGGCAGGTTATGTTTTCAGCTTGCTGACTGTGCAAGCCAAGTCGTCCGGAATGACGCTGTATGAGATATTTCGGAAGCATACGGATGCACACGGACGCATAGGTGAAGCTGCGTTTCGGAACTTCATTCGCCAGTTTATTCCAACCATGTCAGAGGATCGGCTGACTCGTCTCTTCTATTTTGCAGACACGGACGGCTCGGGCATGTTGAACCTTCTAGAGTTCCTGCGGCTCTTTGACTTTGACATGGATGGAAAGATGGGCGAGGAATACTTTGAGCATGTTATGGCACGGATACAGAAAGCCGTGTCAAAGAATGGTGGCTTCATGAACGTCCTAAAGCTGAACGATAAATACTTAAATGTGCCCTGCAGCCGACAGAAGTTGGTGGATTGCATTGGTCCATTCGCTCCGAGTCTGACCAGGGCCGAGATCTATGAGGCCACAGCCCGTTTCGTTTCACCAGCCAACCCTGAAGTCAATGTGCGCGACTTCAGTGATGCGATGGAGCTGTGTGCCTCCTCAGCCAATGCAAGTGAAGACTGGCTGCACAAGCTTTTCAAGCAGGTGTCCAACACAATTCTGAAGCAGCGCGGCGGGGGGGCTCAAGGGGCCATGCTGGAGTCCTTGGGCCCGAATGGAACGCTTGGGCGGGAGGACTTGCGAGTTTTTCTCCGCCAGTTCCAGCCCAATCTGTGTGACAGCCACATCAACAGAGTTTTTGGGTTCTTAAGCGCGAGCTCTCCCGACGGATCAGGAAAGATTACGGTGCACCACTTTCTTGACACGGTTCGCCAGCAGACGACTGGGACAAATGGACCAGCTGCCGGTGCTGAACAGTCCAAGCTGCCACTTGAGGACGCCCCTCGCCAGCAAGCTCAGCTGGCGCTCTGTGCAGGACCGGAACCGTCACCATCCTTGGATAGTAGAGCGAGCTGCTGAGAGGCATGGCCTAGTTTGCTGATGGTTTGGCCTTGCTGCTTCTGATGTTCTTGTCTCGTGCCCGGAGCATGTCTCACCATGTGATTTGTCATTCGTGACGCACGAATAGTGTACATGGTGACAAGTTGCGAAGCAAGAAAAAAGGTACCAGTAGCTTTCTTTCATCTGGGCCCTTGCTCCCTTCGCCTGACCTTCGCCCCTTTCGATTTGAGAAGATCTTTCGTGTCCACAAATTTCCTTCAAACTATACTAACTATACATCATTTGAGCAATACTTCTTTTCCCAAACCAAACCAAACGAGCATAACCAACAGGTCGACCCAGAAAGCGTGCTGTGGAGAATTGTGGAGTCAAACCGGTTGCTTGCTTATAAAGGATGTTGCTATTGTCGCTCCTGCATGTGGGGGGCAGATTCTACAAAGCATGAGGTCGCAATTGCTGCTCTTATGGTCAGCTTCATGCCTCGCATGCCATTTCGCAGACGCTGCCTCCACGCCTTCTGCTGTGGAGCAGACTGCACGAATTTGTGCACCAGAGGTCTGGTAACTATTAGACTCTTAGATTTCAATACCCATTCACCATGAACATTACGAAAGCAACTCTGCGCCGGAAGAGAAGCTCCTTACATCACCCCGAGTGTAGGCACCTTGCCGAATGCCGGAAGCAGTGATCCGGCACTATCGGAGAACCGAGCCTGATCCCGGAAGCTTCAAGGCAAGGTGGAGGCTGGGAGGTCAGGAGAAAGAGAGAGATACACACAGTTTCACTTTTCCAAGGAGTGTTGACGCTGGAGGACATTGCTGCGGGCCTTGCCGTCGCAAGCCGTGCTGGAGAAAAGGTACCAGCAGCGATTGGTCTCCTGCTTCCAGGCCTTGAGACCATCAACTCGCAGCTGCCGCCCGTGGCGCCCCAAGGAAATGTCACGTGCAAGTACATGTAATACGAGTACATGAGATGAGGTAATGGGGCATGTTGGCATACTTGACGTATGCATTAGCATCAAGCATGCGTTCGCTTGGGGCCTGTCTTGGCTGAAGGTGACATCCCAAGCAGATTTGGAAGAGCTCATGGGCTTTGGCACGATTTTCTTCAATGCAGCTTCGAAGCACTGGCGATCACTGGCCAGAATTTGCCAGGAGGCCAGTGCTGCTTTTTCATTCCCCGCCAACATCAATGTCTATGCCACTTCTCCTGGGCGCAGAGTGTCCACGCCCCCGCATGCAGACCACCATGACGTCTTGATCCTCCAGTCGCAGGGTGTAAAGCGCTGGCAGATCTTTGCCCCGCCCCGCTCTAGTGTTGGGAGACCTGGGAAACATGGCAAACATCCCCTCTATCGAGGCAAAGGTGAGGATGCTCTTGGCGAGGAGGAGCTTGGAGAAGCGCTCCTTGATGTCATCCTGAGGCCTGGCGAGTGCCTCTTTGTCCCCTGCGGCTTTCCGCACGCCACGAGCACAGCCTGCACAGCCTGCGGAGAGCGCGCCGACGGCGAAACGATTGCGGCAGCATCGGTGCATCTCACTCTGGGCTTATCCGCAGCCGACTGTGGACTGACGTACCACACGCCACGTGGCTTTTAGGAAGGGTATTTAGATTTAGATGCTTTTCAACCATTTCCCGGCCTCCCGGCAGTGTTTATGTAAATGGCTTTGGACTTAGCTCGTCTGCCTTTCTGTCGTTGCGGCTTCGCGCTTGTGCCAGGCTGGCGGGACAGGTGCTGCTTGAAATGGGCCTCGAGCCACCGGATGATGAGGAGCTTGCGGAGGATGCTTTCTGGGCTTTGCACCGTCCTCTGCCTTTAGGCTGCCTCAGCCACTCTGGGGAGAAGACGGAAAATGTACGGCACCTAGCAGCCGAGCTTCGCCGCGTGGCGTCCGAGGTCTTCGGCGTGAGAGAGACGCCCGTAGATCCTGCAGATCCCAGTGAGGTTCTTGATCTGTGCCTGTGGGATGCAGCTTCCCTTGTTGCATCACGCTGGTTTGAAATTTGGGTAGACCTCCTGCAGATCCATCACGATGGCTATCAGGAGGTGATCGCAGCGCAGGCTGGCAGCAGGGTCGTTGCAACTGGACTGGTTGGTACCTCTGTCTTCCACTCTTTGCCCCGATCCTGCGACGACGACCTCTTCGCTGGAACGGGTGACGAGGCCAGGATCACACGTAGAACCACATAGAGCAAAGCACCTCTTTCTGAAGATTTCCGAAGTGTGCCCGCGCCTTGGTGTTTGCAGGGCGAAGTGGACCCCGCAATCACGTCGGCTACGTCATCGACAGCCAAATTCTGTCAGTTCATCCGCACCCGCTTGCCGGCACTAGAACTGCACCTCGGATGGGTGGTGGGCGGTTGTAGGGCTTTCTGCTGTTGTGCCTGAGTCTACGATTTACTGTGTGCGTGTGCTAGCTATATGTGGACTGATGACTGGCAGCATCTCTCAAAGGAAGTGGCGACATGCTATCCCTTTGGAGGCCTGAGCGTTGTTCATGCAAGTCGTTTGGGCACATCAATGTATGTGGGATGGACATATGCGGGTAAACTTCAAAGTTGTACTCTTGACACGAGGCCGGACATGAACCGGGCCCTGCCATCTTCGAGCTTGCCGATTGAAGCATAGGCTCATCACGACTCCGACATCAACATCGTAAACCAGCGTAAGCCACAGACGGTTCTTGGCGGTTATTGAATGCTGCGAGCCGCCTCCTTTGATGCTCTTGCAATGATTGAGCGGGACGACAGACCTCCGGCAGAGGTCTTGCGCTGGTCACAGATGGTCACGGCCACGGGAAAGCAGGGAGAATACGGACACCACCTCGACAGCACATCCTGACGAGGCAGTTCGGACGGCTGCGGATAGTTGCCGTACGCAGGGCCACAAGGCTTTTGGTGACTCGCTGTGAGAAGCAAGCGCTGGGAAAGCATAGAACAAGGAAGGGCTCGTTGCCGCAAAAGGGGGGTACTGGCGTACCCTCATTTTTTTCCCCTCCCCGCCGTTTTTCTTTTGGTGAGCCCTGGGACCCAGGCTTTGGGGTGGTGCTGACGAGGCGCGCCTCTCTTCGCGTTACCGTACTCCACCCTCAACTATCAGTCTTGAGCATGTTGGTCTAGTGAGTCTAGTGTCGTGGGGTGGTCCATGATGGTCCTCTTTCCGTGTCTGCCGACGTCTGACCTTCAGTTCTGAAGTCTTAGTTTCGCAATGAGAAGGACTCGATGCGCCGCCTGGACCAGCTGCTGACGCTCTGTGCAGAGCTGCGCGTCGAGACCGCACCCGCAGAGGCAACACATGGGGCCACACGATAAAGAGCCAAGCACTGGCATTTGGGGCTTTTGGTTCTGACTCTGGGTGTTCAGCGGCAGAGGGCTCCGGTGTTCTTTGCCACGTCATGCTGCCCTCGCAAGCCAGGTTGCAACAGGCTCTCGCCGGGTGCTGATCGTCCCGCTGTTTGCGTACAGCTCAGCACAGTTTGGGTTTGTGCTCCGGAACATCTAGTAGGTTTCAAAGTATCGTGGTTTTTGGGATTGTGAGTCGTGTGACTGGCGTGGTTCCTGTGATGTCATCTGAAATTCGCGAAATCGGCATGCGTCCGTGCTTTGCAGTAATCACATGCCACGATGCTGTCGTGGAGCGCGAGCCGCATGAGCTGCATTAGCGAAGTCTGCTCGCTTAAGTCCTGGCATCATCCCCAATGGGACACGGAGCCAGACATCGAAGGCCGGCATAGGGATGCCCCAAGTTTCCTACGGAGCTTGCTTTTTGGCAATGCACGGCTGTCGTGCAGTGGCTTTAGTGACGCGATTTAGGCAGACTTACACGAGCATGCTGGTCCATTGCGATTTCGATGTCGGATACGTTTCCTGTGTGGCATGGCTTGGACAGTTTTGAAAGCAAAAGAACGGACATGCCGATAGCGCATCGCATCATCAGTAGAAGCACGCAGATGTGGTGCCAACCGCTTGCCGGGTCGAACAATAGCAGCTCTGCAGCGAGGGCGAGCCATATTGTTCATATCTGTATAAGCCTATGATAACTATGAGATGCAGAATATGTACAATGTAGTACAGTATGCAACATGTATAATATGTATAAACATGTAGATGTATAGTAATGTTTAATGAGGTTACCGATGGAAGATGTGAATAGATGTATATGTTTGATGTGTAGATACTTATATAGTATATACGTATAGATGTGTAGATGTATTCTGCCTCTCTGTCTCTCTGTCTCTCTGTCTCTCTGTCTCTCTGCCTCTCTGCCTCTCTGCCTCTCTGTCTCTCTGTCTCCCTGTCTCCCTGTCTCTCTGTCTCTCTGTCTCTCTGTCTCTCTGTCTCTCTGTCTCTCTGTCTCTCTGTCTCTCTATCTCTCTGTCTCTCTGTCTCTCTGTCTCTCTGTCTGTCTGTCTCTCCGTCTCTCCGTCTCTCCGTCTCTCCGTCTCGCCGTCTCTCAGTCTCTCCGTCTCTCCGTCTCGCTCTCTCTCCTATCTGTCTCTATCTCTATCTGTCTCTATCTCTCTCTCCCTCTCTGTCCCTCTCTCGCGCTGTGTCTCGCGCAGGTTGGCGGGGCTTGCTCCCAGTGGATCAGATGCTCAGTGCGAGCCCAATAACCCATTCAAGCTCCAAGGGTCCAAGAGCGCTTGTTCATTCAGACCAGACAAGCCTCCTGGTCACATCTAGAATCTAGATCATATGTAGGTCCATGAAATAGTCGGAACTCAAGTCGCGTGCTGAGGTGATTACCCGTTGACGCACTGGCCGCGTGGAATCTCCATCAAGGCCTTGCCGCCCTGATGTCCAGTCCTGCATGCGGCCCAATCCATGTGAGCACGAGCGTCCGCATGTAGCAAAAACTCGCTGGGCCGTAGGATGGAAGTGCGGCGAGAGCTGTTGCACGGGACACAGCAGCCAAAGACAAAGTGATCCAGCTCTCACATGTGGTCGCCTGGGCCGTGACTTCTCTTTTCCACTGTAAGGACAAGGTCAACGACAGACTCATGGACTGGGAGCAGGTCCTTATTCGCCGTCGCAGCTACCATGAAGTCTGCTCCCTTTCAAGGGTGGTTGAGGGCAGAGCTGTCATAGCTGTCAGGGTGCAACGTCCGAGCGGCCAAGGTCTTGTCCTTCTCGCACTTCCTCCCCCGGGTGGAGGCGAACCCTGAAAAGAGATACCTTTCCTATCCGAACCTGGCTCGAGCCTCAGACTGCGCTGCGCTGCGTGGATGGCATGGCGAAGACAAGCGTCAAGAGTTCAGCTGGTGATGACTGCCACAACAGTTTCGAAATCTTCTTGAGCAAGTGAGGCGAAGGGGATCGGCTCGAACTACTTGCGGGCACGTGTTGAAGCGCTGAAACCTGACGTGCATGCCGCGACACCCAGTGTGGAAAGCGCTTCTTGGAGATTACGTGCAAAGTGGTGTGCTCAACGAGGTCTTTGGCCACACCCATTTCGGCTGGGATCTCGTGGCTGGCTCCCCAGGGCCTTGTGCAGCATTGCAGCGATTTTTGGCCGTAGAACAACCAACCAAAGCCATCGAAGTTATCACAGTATGCTGTAGCATTTGCTTTGCTTGTGTCCGCGGCTTTCAAGAGCATGTGTTCTACTGATGCTCTGCCAGGGAGTGTGAAATAGGGATGGTGCGGCATGCTCATTCTCATCTTGTACAACACTGTGCACGTCAACTTGAGTCGTTAACTCTTCAGTAGCAGTTGGTGGTGCTGCATAACCATAGGTTTATAGCATTGTGCAGCATAACTAGGGCTGGCGACGGCTGCCAGGTGGACGGGACTCGGTACGTGCAGGCTCCGTTGGCCATGCCGTTGCTCCCAGAATTCGGCCAGAACGGACTTCTACGCCTGCGCTGCACGATGCCGAGTTTGCACTTTCAGGTCATCTGAGCGGCACTCCCGTGGTTCAACGGTAGCGCCATGCTCAGTACATCCCAGTAAATCCCGGTGCTTGTGTAACCAATGGGGGACATTCTCAAGATTTTCCTAGAAGGTCACTCGTCAAGATGTCTTTAAGATGTTGACCGTCGCGGGGCCTTTCGGCAGAGATGGTGCCCGCGATGTGGGGAACTCCAGGGCACGGTGCTCGCCGGCTCGAGGCAGTTGGCGACTTTCCAGATGGCAAGTCCAGCCCGCATCCGTTCCTGGCTTGCGGCTTAGTTGAGTCATGTTGAGTCATAGTCAGAGTCTTCGGAGCGAAGCGAGTGAGTTAATTGGAGTAGCTTTGTGACGTCTTCAGTATATGCGCCTTGTGTACTCAAGGTCTGGCACTCCCGCACTGGCTGGGTTCCGCACTGCCAATGCCCGAGAAAAAAGTTCCGATTCCATTTGGAGAAGGGGCACCCCGCCCAGTGACTCATTGCATGAGAGGTCGGGGAGCCTGGTCAGCTTATGTGGAGAGGTATGGTCGGCGGCCAGACGTCACGCGCCTGAGCCTGCAGTTCAGCCTAGGAACGAGGGAGTCCGAGATGGGCCCTTGGAAGCCTTGGACGTCGGTTAGCAGCTAGGAATGTGTTCAATGCGAGCACAGGTCTTTGCTTCCATCCTACGATGCGATCTCAGTGTGTCCGGCAGTTGCTGTGTACTCAAAGGTTTTTTCTTGCTGTTCTGAGTGTAGTGGGGGCCCATTGGACGTGAGGTGGCCGACTGCGGCCTTGAGCCCCTGAGTGGGGCTCCTCAGCATGGTGCCAATGTGGTCCACAGCGTGACAATCGGTGGGGGCATCTGTGCACCATTACGCTACCATCCGTTGAGAATCAAGAGCAGCACGAACTCGCTTAGGTGGCATCTATGGTTCCAAAGCCAAAGTTGGATGGCTGCCTGGCAGGCTGTGTGTCATGTGTTGAGAGATGTTGAGCACTTTAGGAAGTTCTGTATTGCTACCAGGATGCCTGTTTGGCTGTTTGGGCCGCGTGAGCAAAGAATTCGCGAGGCACCGGGTGAAATGACAGGTTGTCACAAGGTCAGCCGGTAAATCTTCAGGTTGCCGCCTGATATCCCTCTGGTAGTCCAGGCGGAGGCAGAAGCTGGCAAGGTCGCAGAACGTTTGCGGAAAGAAGCTGCCATGCGCCAAGCCTTCACCAAGCAGACAAGCTCAAGATGTTTCTTCATGCTAAGCTGCTTCCCCCTTTGAAGGCAAGTTTGCCGGCTTAACCAGGACCAGGCGACTTCTTCGGGGGTCCTCGATCAAGTCAAGTTGCCCGGGCTGAGGGAAGGTTGGTTTAGGGTCTCGAGGATTCTTCTCCCATTGGTCATGAACCATCTTACCCTAAACTAAAACCCATCTCTTACCAAGAGCCTTGCCCACTGATACTAGCGTGAGACTCGAAGCCCTCCACCGTGCAGCCTGGTGGTATGTGAGATGGGACGAGGCCGGCACCTTCAAGCGCGCGGGCACCTTTAAGCACCGGAAGCAACAAGTTGGCTCCGATGAGCCCCTCCCCATCGAGGCATCTGAGGCCCGGACTCAATTGAAGTCTTGTTAAAAAAATCCTCGGGAAGTGACGTAGTGTGCCATAATTCCCTAGGTCACCTAAGTCTCTTCTCTGGCAACGACGGCTGGCGCGCATGCTAGTGCGCACTAGAGACTGAAGCTTCGTGACGATGTCAGACTACGAATCTTGAGCTGTTGACAGGTTGCTGTCCTCATGCACAAGGCACAGCTGCATTTGAGCCTGGCGACTTTTGAACCCTCCATTGCTGGATTCGGAAGTTGCTGTCTGCGCTCATGTATCGCTAAACGTCTCCCCCCATCTCCGAACAAGCAAAGACGCAAATCAGGGAGAAGTCGCGGTCCTTGACGTGAGGGAGGGGGACTTTGCCAGCCGTCCTGCTGGCTGCGTGCCCTTGCTGGGGCCTTGCGCAGCCATTTGCAGTCACATGTTTGCTGAAGTTTGCAGGGTGTGTCATGCACAGGTCACACCCATCAGAGACGAGCAAATTTGCGGCGTTGCCGGATGCAGAGCTTCTGGAGCTTGGTGAGCGGATCATGCTGGGGGAGGGGCCGCCGCCCGAGTGGATGCAAGCTTTACAGACAGGTCGGTGAATGTCACAACGAGCGCAATTACAGGATTAGGCCTGGGGCTATACTTGAGCTTCGCTCAGGCCACGCATCCTGGTTGGCGAGGGCAGCTCCCCAGCCACCCTGGCATAGCTTTGCGCCTGGACTTAGGGTGGCATGTCGTATTGGCATCTGTGTCAGGCCAGCTGCCGCCATGCGGCGCTGCTGCTGGCTGCACTTCTTCGTTTGTGGCCAAGGCGGAGGGTTTTGCAGGGACGGCTCGTAAGGCACAACGCGCGCATGCGTAGGCTACTGTAGCCCCTCATGCCGAGGTTTACTTCGGGTTCTGGGAATTCCACATCGTATTGAACCCTTTCTTTTTTTGTTGCTGTGGTGGCTGTTTGTTCATTAAGGTACCCAAGCGATCCCATGTGTTTCGATCAACGGGGGGGGGGGGGGGGCGCGTTTGCTCCTTTAAGCCATGCAAATTGTTTCCAAGCGTGTCGTGCCATCAATAAGACAACTCGTACGAATCCTTTCCAAGCAGCCCGTCGAGCAAGCATTGACTTTGAAGCCATGCGAACTTGCTTCGAAGCTCCCCTGCTCTTTGAAGCCTTGCCGCTGAGTATGATAAACAAACCGACAAACCAAAGCCATTCCTTGCCAAGCACATCATACACGAAGCGTGCCCGGCCCGCAAGCGCCAGAAAAAAGCAAGTTACCCCTACAGCAAAAAAGCGTGCCTCGACAGCTGGGTTGCTTGCGCTAGCCGCCCGAAACCCCCTAGCGCATGCTCCGAACACTCGGCCACCCGTGCGCGTGTTACACACTTGAGCATGTTGCGTTGCGCACTTGAGTGTTCAGCTGTCGAGCTTTCAATCTGTTTGCCTGTGTGCTGCTGAAGTCGGCTTCAAGCAGCAGCCGACGAATTGTTGTTGTGTGCTCTGCGTTCTTGCTGTTGTTATGGAGCGGCCACGCCGCCGGGTCACCGCGTCGCCGTACAGCTTGGACAACCTAGGCATGGGCGTACCCCGGCCTATCCGGCGTTCTACCACCTCTCGCTCTTCGACGATGCAGGGGATGGAGCTTGCGTTTGCCGGCGCAGTCGTGTCTCCAGGCGTCCAAGACAGTGTGTTGAGGGCCCCCAAGATCCCACATGAGCTGCCTGGCGCAGCTGCTGGCGAGTCTTGTCTTCGTGACCATGAGAAACAAGATCGCTTGATGTTGGCGTCAACCTTGGCTAAGTTCTGCATTCATCTTGGCGGCGCAGAAGGAAGCAGTGTGCTTGTTGCTATGGGTACATGTGTGTCTGTCAATGATATTGCCCCTCTGTTCTGCGATCGGGCGCCATCTACTTTGCGTCGGCATATCTCGGGATGGAAACGCTGGTTGCAGTTCTGTAGCGCGTTGGAGTGGAGCGCCGCTTCTCCATCCCTCACGCAGGTTGTCGATTTCGTGAAAAGCTTATCTGAAGGAGTGCGAAGCGATCGCGGCCGCTTGCGTGCCAAGTCTGCCTCGGGCGTACTGGCAGCAATGAAATTTGTTGCTTATAAGCTACAGCTCTCAATGCTTCACGCGTCGCTTACCAACCCCCTGGTACAGGCTTGGTCACGCCAAGGTATGTGGGACAGCATGCCAGTGAAGGAGGCGGTTCCTCTTCCACTTTGGGTTGTTCGCAACTTGGAGCTTGCAACCATGCAGGATCTTGGAGACGGAGAATGGGTGGTTTTGTGCTGCTTGTTGATGATTTGGGGCAGTCTTCGTTGGAGTGATGCTCAACGGATGGATCTTTCCTCCATCTGTTCCAGCCGGGGCGAGGTCAGAGGGTGGTGTTGGCGCACCAAGTCTTCTCCCAGAGGCATGCCCTTCGGAGTCCTCAGCAAAGGCTGTACAGGCTGCAACTGGGGAGCGCGCTTCTATGACAGAGTTTGCCAACTGCGCTCTCAGTTTCCTAAGCGCGATTTCTTGGTTGGCAGTTTCGACAAACCCATAGGATATTCCTGCATGCTGGCACAGTTGCGTCGTTGCTTGGTGCATTTCGGTGGTGTTCCGCGGGAGCACGTTCACATGTTCACTCTTCATTCTTTGAAAACTACTGTTCTGGCCTGGGCCCTCCAACTACAGGTGGCCGAGCCTGAGAAGGCAGCTCAGGGCCATCACCGCTTCAACGGCACTGCTCGGTGCGTGCCGCGGTACGGGCGGAACGATATCATCCCGGCTATACGTTGCCAGTCAAAGATCATTGGTGCGATTGCTGGCGGCTGGGTTCCGTCAACACCCCTGAACCGGGGTTGCATGACTTTAGAAGAGGCGGAGTCCTTTTTTGCCCGTGCTCAGGCTGCGGCCACTATGCCAAAGCCATCTGATGCTCCTTGCGAAGCCTGCTCAGATACCGAGGACGAGGACGAGGACGAGGTCGAGGAGGAGGGCGAGGAAAGTATTTCCGAGCCCCAGCGTATGTGCAGCCCTGGCAGCTCCTCTTCGGACACAGACAATGCCATCTCCAGTGAAGACGAAAGCGTTGCGTCGGGGTCAGAACATGAGTGCGCCCACCCCAATTGTGCAGGCGTGTGGATCGTCAACGGCAGTTCCGGGTATTTTCATCGCGCGGTGAAGATTGATGTTGAAGATTCGCGCCTGGTCTTGGCCAACTGGCGGTTGGCGTGCCGGCCTTCGCTGGCGCTGCGCGACTTCTACAGTTTGTCGCAAGATGACCCGCAGTTTGCAGGATTTAGCCCTTGTCAGCATACGGGATGCTTTGGACAGACGCAATGATGCTTTGCTTACCTGATAGCTCAGGTGTGATTGCTTGTTACTGCAAGCGCAGTTTGGGTGGCGTCCCGGACGCACATGTGTGCGTCGTGAGTACGGGCCCCCTAGTTCGCTTTGCGACCAACATCGCACGGTCCTACGTGGTGTCGTTGTTAGTCTGGATGTCCCGGGCGTGCAAGGGTGCGCTGTTAGTACGGGACTCATCCAGTTTGCGCATTGTTGTTGGTGCTGCTTGAGTTTGAGTGCGTGATCACTTTCTGTCAGGTACTCGCGTATTCTTGAGCTATCACCTAAGTTGTCAGCCAGTACTGGCGCTTGCGATTGGTTGTTTGTGCCTGCTTGTTGCTGCTTGCGTGGAGCAATGGGCGACGATTCCAAGTGGTTGGAGTCATTAGGCGCAACGGGAGTGCCTGATTCGATCTTGAAGAAGGTGTCCTCGAGTTATTGCTCCCTCCAAGTGTTTGCGCATTCCTTCGACGAGAAAGCGCATTTGGACTTGTTTGCTCACTCGCTGCTGAAGGAGGCCAAGTTGGTTCCAGAGGAAGCAGCAGATGTGACTTGGAAGTTTCATCCTGTGCTGGGATCCCTGCGTGCGCTGTGGGTAAAAGCACGTGCTAGCATTGCCGCTGGTCCGTTGCCTGCGGCCGGCAGCTTGCCGCCAGCACCTTTCCCACCCGCAGCACCTGCGCTCAATGCGTCCTCATTACTCTCTCTTGGTGTCCCTCAGCAGCGTTTAAACGCAGCTGAGCGTGACAAGCTGAAGCGTGCCTTCGAAAAGTCTTACTCGGGAGTGGTCCTTGCTCCTTCGACGCTGCCGGGCCTTAGTTTCCTGCAGTGTGTGCAGTCCCAGTGCGCGTCTAAATCTTGGGAGTGGCTGTGTTGGAAGCGTGTCCTCAGCGAAGAAAATGTCGGGCAGATCAAGGACAGGAAGCGTGGAAGCCAGCCCCTTGAGGTCGCCGACCTATTGGCCCATGCAGCTGGCTTGGTGCATTAGGCAGCCTCCTCCTCCTCCCACGCCCAAGGGTCCGAAACGGAAGAATCAGAACACTGAGCTGGCGCCTGCCAAGAGAGTCAAGAATGCCTTCTGCAATGCCTTCCAGGAGGGCAAGTGCTCCCGCTCTGCGGATGACTGTCGTTTCCTTCATAAGTGCAATGTTTGTTTCTCGGACTCTCATGGTGGGGGGACATGTCCCAAAAAGTGACTAGGTCCAGCTGTAGAGGACCATCCTGCGTCGGGTGGACGCTGTGTCCGATTGAAGAGTGCGTCAGCGTATTCTGAAGTGACACCTCATCTGCCTGACCGATCGGGCGTGTTTCCGATCTCAGTTCCTGATACTGTGTGTGAGGCAGCGTTGTGTCCTGTTCCCAGACATTGTACTGCACAGCCGGCGAAGACTGTCTCTTCTGCGCCCGATGTCATTCAGTCGGTGCCTGCGTGGGATCATCAGCCTCGACTGCACATCCCTGACGGCGGCGGGAACGGGTCCAGTGCTGCGTGGCACTCCCCGTTGGTTGCGCGGGATCACTTTCGGGGTTTAAGGCAAATGTTCGGTTCTTTGGTGGTTGAGTGGGGTTTAGTGGGTCGGCTAAGGTCCCTGTTGGATTCTGCAAGCGCAGACTGCCTTTTCTCAGCCGATGAGAGCTTTATGCAAGATGACCGGTGACATTGACTCCATCTTGCCTTCTGTCCTGCGCGAGGGCGTGCCCACCGGCATTCTACAACCCATCCCACCGTCCGGGGTTTGGGACCCTGTTGAAGCTGCCGAGCCCACCTTGCCAGAGGAACTCCTTGTGCACCTTGAGCCTTGGCGCAGCGGGTCAGAGGATCCTGCTCTAACCAGGAAATTATTGCAGAAGGACATCGATGCCGGGCACTTGTTCGAGGTAGTTGGCGGTGAGTCCGCTGCACGCTCTCGCTGGGGGAAAAACTTGGCAGCCGGAAAACTTGGTGTTGTGGGAAAAACTTGGCAGCCGGAAAACTTGGTGTTGTGCATGCTGCAGGTAAAAACCCCAGGTTAATTGGCGATGGCTCTGTGAGTGGTGCCAACGCCATGTGTCTCATCCTCGAGAAGGTGCACCTTCCAACCTTGCATTCACTGCAGCGCTTCCTCAGTTCTGCCCCGCCGGGGTCTTGCTGGACGGCGCTTTGCTTCGATGTGCGCGGAGCACACAAGCTTGTCACTGTGCGGGAAGCAGAGCGTGGCTTTAGCTGTTTTGTTCTTGAGGGGAAGTGGTATTGCTATCGTTCCTGCTATTTTGGATGCAGGTGGGCTGCGTACTGGTTCTCCAGGTTAGGCGGGATGCTGGTTAGGTTCCTACATCAATTCGTCCGCATTCCGCACGGGCTTATGTTGTACGTGGACGACGGCATTTTGCTTGTGCCTTCTAGCGTTGCCCCGCTGGTCGCTGCAACCAGCGTCATGTTTTTGTGCAGTTTGGGCATCCCCCTAAGTTGGGAGAAGCTGAAGTTCTCCCAGCAACTCTCCTGGATCGGCTGGCGGTTCCAGTTCGATTCTTTCACTGCTGTCCTGCCCGAAGCCAAGGCCGAGAAGTGCGTTGGACTTCTCCAGCCTCTACTTAGGTCGGGAGTCAAGATGCTGCGTAAAGATGTGGAGCGCGTGATAGGACTGCTCTTGTGGTTCACGTGCGGCGCCTTCTGGCTGCGCCCCTGGCTGCAAAGCTTCTATGCACTGCTGCATAAGCCCTTGACGACTTGTCGCCTCTTGACGCTGGAGCAGTTTGGTGATCTGCTAGATCACCTCAGCGATCGGCTCGTTGTTCATGGCAGTGTGCCTTGCTGTGATATTCTCGATGGCTGGAAGCTGCATTCAGTTAACAACACGGTAGTTCGCTCCCTTGATGCCCCCGCCTTGCAGTGCCCGCGGGTTAAGGGCGGTCAGGTCTCGGTGGTGTTTTTCGAGTATGGGAGCAGGTTTGTTCGGCCGAACTCTGACTGCGCCTTCGCCGCCAAACTCTTCCTTCGGTCAGTTTCAGAGCGTGTGCAGATTCCCCTTGTCATTGCGCCGGCGTGCCCTACTGTGTGTGCCGCGGACGCTTTCGCCACCCGCGACCGTGCAGGTATAGGTGGGTTTTGGTTGCCTGCCGACGCTGCTGGAGACATGTCGCAGGCCCGTTGGTTCAGCATGCTTTTCTCAGCGGCCGACCTGCCGACATGGTTCCATTGTGAGGGCGGTTCTGGACTTCAGGGCTGCGTTGCTGCGTTCGAGGCTCTTGCTCAGCTTGCACTCGTGGTGTTGCGTGTACGGGAATCGGGGGTTTTGCCTGAAGGGTTCTGCTTAGTACAGTTTGCGCAGCTCTGCGACAACCAGGCCGTGACCGCGTGCTCGGTCAAGCTGCTTTCCATGCACAAGCCTTTGTGTTTTGTGCTTCAGGCTCTAGGGTACTGGGCTTGCCGTTGCCACTTTCAGCTTCAGGTTTCTCATATTGCTGGCGTTCGCAACTGTATTGCAGATCAACTTAGCCGCGGCATCGTTCCCGCCTCTTTGAGTCCATCTAACAGGCTGGTGCCTGATACTGACCAGTTGCTGAGGGCTCCGTGGGAGTCCTGAGTGTTGTCTTGTTGCACGCGGTAAGCATCTGCCGGTCACCCGGTTGGTTAGGGGTGTTTTAGCTGTGTCCGGGCATCTGCATTGAACTGATCGCACCCTTCGGTTTGGGCAGTGTTGTGTGTGGAGGGCCTTTGCCATGGGGCAAGGCTCTCCCACACTGTTGTGCGATCGGTCCAAAACAGATGCGCGCGTCTAGGGTTGTGTGTGTGTTGGGTTGCTTGCGCTAGCCGCCCGAAACCCCCTAGCGCATGCTCCGAACACTCGGCCACCCGTGCGCGTGTTACACACTTGAGCATGTTGCGTTGCGCACTTGAGTGTTCAGCTGTCGAGCTTTCAATCTGTTTGCCTGTGTGCTGCTGAAGTCGGCTTCAAGCAGCAGCCGACGAATTGTCCCACCCTCCCGCCCTAGAGAAAGGGCTCACGGCCCCACGTGGCTGAGTTAGGTTTCCCGTGACGGGCAGTGTTGTGTGTGGAGGGCCTTTGCCATGGGGCAAGGCTCTCCCACACTGTTGTGCGATCGGTCCAAAACAGATGCGCGCGTCTAGGGTTGTGTGTGTGTTAAACAACAACACGAAGCCCACCTGGCTTGCGCGGCCAAAAAGCGCCCGACCTCCACAACCAATCGCGCCCTGCCCCCACAGCAAAAAAGCAAACGCGCCCCACCCATACAGCAAACAACGCGCGTCGCCACTGCACAAAAGCCTCCCGAACAAAAAACACACACACACACTCTATCTCTCTCTCTCTCTCTCTCTCTCTCTTCTTCTACTCTTTCTCTCGCTCTCTCACTCTCTCACTCTCTCACTCTCACTCTCTCACTGTCTCACTGTCTCACTCTCTCACTCTCTCACTCTCTCACTCTCTCTCTCTCTCTCTCACTCTCTCTCACTCTCTCCCTCTCTCCCTCCCTCTCCCTCCCTCCCTCTCTCTCTCTCTCTTGCAACATTGCATCAGCACGTTTACCATGCAGCTTTCGGTTCCCGCGGTTCTGGGGGTGCTGGACCAGCCATGCGCCAGCATGCGAGCGAGAGCAGTGAGTTTTTTGGTGGCAGGCTTATATGCCCTTCAGTGGTCGCAGCAGAGGTTGTCCATGGCTGGGGTCCGTGCCCACGTGTCGTCGCACCCGAGTCTGTGGACATCCGGCAAGCTTCACCTCGAGGGACGAGAGCTAGCCGAACGCAGCATCAATCTGGAGCCAAGCCCATGCTCAAGGCCGTCCATGCTCCGCATCTTGAGACAGGCCCTCTCGCCGGAAGAAGTGAACTCCATCTTGGACATGTTCCGCGGGGAAATGCTATCAACAACCGAAGCCCTAAACAATCCAGTGCAGTCACCTTGCCTGGTACTGGCTGAAGATGGTTGCTGGAAGCCGGGGCAGCTGGCTGAGCTGGCACGGGTGTTAGTGGAAAGCCGGCTCATGACCTACATTCGAAAAGCCCTCTCCTGCCCTCATTTACATGTGGCCCAAGCTATTCTACGCCGCTACACAAAGGGTGGCTGCAGAAGTCACCCGATCCACACAGACCACATGGCATTCGGCACTGCAGTGGCAGATTTGACCCCCATGCCAGGCAGTGGCCTGTTCGTTTGCCGCCAGAGCGAGAAGTTAGGGAGTGGAATGGATGGGGATGATGCGGTTGGGGGTGCTTTCTTTGTTCCTTTCGAGGCAGGTGATGTAGCAGTGCACGGCTGGGAGGTTTGGCATGGGATCCGGCTGAAGGAAGGCCACGAGAGGGTTTCCCTGATTGTTTGGGTGCGGCCTGGTGACGTTTCAGGCAGCACGGTCTGCACGTGGTACTGGGCTCCTGCGTTGCAAAATGATCTCAGAGCAGGGTACCACAAGGGCATCGAGGCATGGAGACAGCGACTGCTGGGTCACGCGAAAGCTGCACTTCTTAATGCAGTGCTTGAAGAAGGTTGTGCAGGTGATGCGAGGCGCATTCAGTACCTCCGCACCAAGTTGAGGGCTCTGGCTGGCATCAGGCAGGCGGAGGCATGGTATCTTGGGTGTGTGACTGCGGCTTCTCAGTCCCAGCTCGGAGAGCCCAAGCTCGCCCGGCGATTGCGAGACCGCGCGGGCGCCCAAGCTGCGGGCTCCGCACTGCAGCGTTGGCACCGCCTCCAGGAGCGAAGGAGTGCGACAGTTGCAGAGCCATCGAGTTCTGAGGCTAAGGCAGCTAAGGCTTCTCAATCTTCTCATCAAGAGATGCGCCGAGCGTTCGAGCGTGGTTGGAAAGATGCGCAGAGAGATCTACCAGACTTCCCGGACCTACCGGATGTCAACGAATCGGCGCATGCTGCCCGGCAGTTTGGAGGACCCGGCGCTGCCCGGCTCTTGCAGAAAGTCGGCCTCGTGGTGTTTGCTCAGCCGGTCGATGCGTTGAAGCCTGACTTGCATGCGGCTTTGACACACTTTCAGCACTCCTTCGCTGCCGTCCGGCGTGAACTGGATCGTCGAGGTATCGCACTCCAGACACCATTCGAGTTCAACGAGGTCTGCAGCCGCCTTTGTGAGCGGTATGATCTGCGATACCTGACAGGCAAGGTCATGCAAGATGGCTTTCGATTGGACAGCATGCCTTGGAAGAAGCTGGTCTATGATGTCCTTGGCATCACTGTGAAGGAGCCATACTGGCCGTAGTTTCCGCAAATTCGTTCGGCACATGTTCGTAGGAACTGCCGGATGCCCTCACTACCATCCAATAGTGGTGTGCTTTTGGTATCGTAACGGTCGCAACAGTTTTATCAAGCGGTTCTTGGCTGTGTTGAGGCACCAATATGGGTTTGGAACTTGTCCTCAGGAGCTTTGGCGTGGCGTGGTGCTGAGCAGACCTGGGGCCCCGGCACAGCCGTGGCACAGGGATTGCGGTCAACTCTTTGAAGAGAGTGATCTGGCCAATCTGCCAGCTCATGCAATCACCATCTTTGTCCCTCTGGTGGAGATCACGTCGGAGATGGGACGAACAAGCTTCGTTCCTGAGTCCCATCGTAGCAGACGGGCCAATGACTTCACGGACTTTGCGAACTCGCACTTTACGCCTGTGCTTCCTTTCGGTTCCTGGCTCGCCTTTGACAATCGCATCGTCCACAGGGGTGAAGCAAACGATGCTGCTGACGGGCGGGATCGACCGATGCTGTACTTCGTTTATGGAAAGCCATGGTACCAAGACGTAAACAACTTCCCCTCCGACAGACCCTTGTATCGGTCTCTGGACACAGCTGGTGGACGCGTTAGCCGAAAAAGTGATTTGTTCATGCTCACAAACACCCCCGCCTCCTCTGTGAAGGTCCTTGCTCCGCCAAAAGGAAACAGACCAATTAGGCAGTTCTACTGGGTCAGAGTTCTGCTGACCAACTCGCTCCAACAAGCACGCTCCAAGTCAGTCGGTTGTAGTGTGAGGCGTGCAGCCGAATCATGACTCGGTAAGCTCTTGGGGGATGGTCTGTGGCACAGTGGATGTCCATTGTCCATCATTCAATATCACTCACAAGCGTCTTCTGGGTGGTTTTCCTTTCTGTTCCAAAGAGGTACTGTGCTTTCAGCAAGGCTTGTGTTGCGCATGTCGCTGCACAGAGCAGCTTTTGCAGGGACGTGCGGCCACTCCGCGGTGGCTTCGATGCCTGGGTGAAGCAAGGCCTACCAGTGGAGCACGTGAGCTCCGAGGGTGCTCTGCTTCGGCAGGGAGGCTACTAACCAGCTTGTGGCCCAGTTTGGCAGGGTGTTTGCCCCTGCACTTTTGTACAGTGACGCGGTTTCTGTTCTATGTCATGTCTATGATGTGGCGTTTCATGACCCAATGTCTTTCTGAACGAGGGCCGCCAGTGAATCTGCTGTAGTGTGCGCAGTAGCATGGCTTGCGCCGTCAAGTGATGCAAAGTGCTGGGCTGATCCTGTTACTCGGAGCGGCTCTGTTCCAACTGTTTGGCATCAGTGATGCAAGCGCAACAGTCAAAAAGCCTCAGGAAGCATTTTCGTTTGTTCATTTAGAAACCCATGAAAGGCAAGACTTTTCTTAAACTGGCAGGATGCCGCGAGCATGCTTCCCAATGTGATCCGTTTGTGCGAGTGAGTGTGCGTGCGAGTGAGAGTGTGTGTATATGTGTGTGTGTGTGTGTGTGTGTGTGTGTGTGCGTGCGGGTGTGCGTGTCTGTGCGTGTGTTTGTGCGTGTGTGTGTGTGAGAGAGAGAGAGAGAGAGAGTGTGTGTGTGTGGAAGAGAAGTGCATCTTTGCTGCAGCGCAGGTTTAGATTCTCAAACACACACACACACACTCACAAAGCTTGATTTTGCCTTCTGAGCTCGGCTTCAACGTTGAGCTTCGCGGGCACATGCATCAATCGGCACAGCAGAGTCTAGACACCTACACCGTTACACGGCGCGACAGCTGTAGTTGGCGTTTCCAAGCAAAAATAACAGTTGTTGGGCTTGTCACCTCAACCTGGCAGAGCCTTGACATAGCTTGGTCCTGATTCTTCCCAAGATGACTGAGCCTTGGACGCATCAGCGCTTTTGCAAGGGCATGGTTCCAAAGGCCTCACTTGGGACTGCCACTGCAAGCGGTTGGGACGGCTCGTGCCCGCTGGTGAGATGCATCCGTAGGTTGCTCAGCCACACAGCGCCTCAGGAAGCGGCTCCAGCCTCTACAGCTGATGGCGAGAAGCCCGCTTGCGTGGCATATGGATGTATGGACACCGTCGCTCCTCGCGTTGTGCTTGCTTGCAACTGCTTTCTTGGCACCGCTTCCAAAGGTGGGGAGGCACGCGGATCTCGTGTCAATGTGAAGAACTTGTGCGAAAGTAACCTGTCGAACAGTAAGCGGCTCTTCGATTGGCAGTGCACATGCACCAAGCGCGGCGGTTTCGCGGTAGTGAAGAGCTCGTTACATACAAGGCACTACGGCGGATGAGCTCAAGACGTTTTTCGCGTCCTGCGGCACAGTGACGGATGCCAGGAACTCAGTGGTCCTTGTTTTTAACATTTCTGTTTTGCGGTGGGGCGCGCGGGGGGGGGGGAGGAGGGGCCTCTTCTGTTTGCCATGTCATGTCCACGTCGGTAGGCAGGGAGAAGTCGGGAGAAGTCTGAATTGCATTGCGCTTCACATGGCTGAGACATGCAGAAGCCTGTGTGTCTTCATGGTCTTGTGGTGTCTCAGGCCGAAGTCAAAGTTAATCAAGATGGCTCTTCCAAAGGCTACGGCTTTGTTTGTTTTTCGTCAGCCGCCCAGTGCTGCCCCAGTGTTGCAACACACAAGAAAACGAATATTAGCACTCGCAAAGATCAGCACAGCCACGCCACAAACATGTCAGTGCGCTTCACAGCCCAGGACGTCAGAAGAAGCAGAGAAGGCTGTTTCCGAGATGAACGCCAGCATCTTGGGCACCTGTGTGGTTGATGTCTGTCAGTCACACTCTTTGCCCGCGTTCAGCACCGCTCCATTTGTATGAATTTCACGCCGCGTTTCAGTAATTATGGCTGTGTCTGCAGGGGAAGACTTTGGAGGACCCGAAGAGTCGTAGGTCGTAGGTGGTCGTCTGCGATAGAACTTTGCATGCCCTCTGTTCACAGGACAAACAGCTGATTGTTCCTTCCTCATCCTACGCATGGCAACTTGGTCCTGTGAGTCCTCTAATATCACAGCATTCGTGAAGGTCAAAATCGCGGAGCGACGGCATCCACAGGACGGCAAGGGCGAAGGAGCGGGCTGAGTGCAATTTAAGAGTACAAGTCAAATGGGGTATATAAGGGCCTTCGTCAGCAAAGAATCGTCTTCTGCAAAAGGTCTGCCAACATTCGCGCTAAAAAAATGCCTTTCTTGTTGCAAGCTTAGTGAAAAGCGTTGCAGCTTGCCAGGTAGCAAGGGCAAGGGCAAGGGCAAGCAGAAGGCCGGACAATGCTGCGCATAAGTACAGGTAATAAAGTATGAACTTGCAGCAGGTCCACAGCTTGAGAGTGCACAGTGAGGCGCAACGTGGGTACTTGGACCCCTACGCCTGGTATGGTGCAGCACTCAGGCGACGCAGGCATTGCGAAAGTTTCAGTGGGCGCACGCGCAACTTCAAGATCCTATTTAGTCGGCGTAGCGGCACGCCCACGCAAATGCTCAGGACAGGCTGCCGACCCTATGCCGGACCGCTTGGGAGCAATCCTGCACTGATGAGAATGACACTGCAGCCACTCTTGCTTTGACTGAGGGCGGCCATGGGCTACCCGTGCTCCAGCTGACCGCATCAGCGGGCGTAGGGAGATCACGTTTTGCAAGAGCAGGTACTACGATGCAAGCAGCATGATGAACCCCTATGGCTATGATCTTGGGGCCATCTACAATGCCATGCCTTCCATCTGCAAACTATGGCACGTCATGGGTCATATGTGAACATGTGGAGTTCGGCTCTGCCCGTTCAAGAGGTATGGCGTGCCAGGCATGCCGCAGATGTACAGTGGATTCCCTATGGGGGCCGGGCTCCCAGAACAAGCTGCCTTCTGTCTTGCAACCCATACCTGCTCATCGGCAGCTGTCTGAGGCCATGCCCGGCATGCCCGGCATGCCCGGCATGCCCATGAGACCCAACAAGGCTCTCGAAATGAGTTTTTAAAGCTGTGACGTGTGACAGCTGATTCCGTGGATATACGAGGTGCCAGGGACAGTCGACCCGAACGCGATACTGGCCCTGCAGCAAGCACAAGCATTTGCTCTTCAGTCGCAGGCGGAGCTTGTGATGTTTATCTAGGAATGTATTCAAGTGGACATGTGCGCAGTGGAGGCTATGGACACAGTTCCGAGGGATCACAAGGCCAAAGTGGGTTGTCCGCATCTCGTCTCAAGGGTCAACTTGTCAAGTGTCGCAAGGGCGGTGCAAGCAAAGAAGAGGGAAAGAGCAAAGCAAAAGGCCAGGGAAGGGACTGTTGCAGGCTGGGGAAGCATGAACGTGTGCTTGGCAGAGCTTTGCAGAGTGCGGAGGTAGCGGAGGCAAGGGCAAAGGCAAGCCTGGCAAGGCCAAGGCATCCTCCCAGGACAGGAGCCAAACGGTCTCTGAAGCGATGACATGGGGGCGTTGCGGAGGGTTGTGGAGGGTTATGGAGGGTTGCTGCTGTTATCTGCGGTCGGGATTGTTGGTGATGGCCTGGGCCTTCAGAGACATTTGCCAAAACAGCCTCGGTGCTTGCAGCCAGGGCGAATGAAAACTGAACCTCGCCGTTTGCCGCAGGAAAGTTCCGGTCCCATGCCGGAAGCTCCTCCGCCAGACCAGGACGTCCGTCGGGCTCGAAGAATGCCTGCCTTCAAAGCAGTCAAAGCAGCGCGCCTTTGAGCCCGGTCGTTCGTGAGGAGTTTGTAGGATATCTCAAGTCCAAGAGCGAGAAGAACGGTTATGGGTTCATCGTATGCAGCGAGATACAGGACTGATGTTGCTTACAAGGTGTCTGCTTGATCATCGCCAGAGTCACAGGTCATAGGATCTAAGCCAGGAGCGGTATCAGCGAGATGTCTGGGTGGACAGTGAGCAGCTACCTGAAGGAGCCACTCAGGTTGCAGAGAGAGCAACAAAAGCCAACGAAACTTTCCCGGGCTTCCCAACACCCACAGGTAGACTGATCCATATAGGCATGAGGTTGCAACGTCTCTGTGCTTCTCTTTTTGTGAGGTTGACCCTGACAGTCGTGCAGAACTCAAGTTCAATGTCACGCTCAGCCCGGGCCATAAGCATTTCGTGTACAGAGAGCAAATGAAGGCAACACAAGGCAGGAAGTACAGAGAGTGTGTGTCAGGCACGAAGGGACACCCTCAAGCCAAGAACGCACCACAGCCATGTGTTTTGCCACCGCAAAAATGAGTTCAAGTTGCAGTTACAGGTAGTTCCATGCTGCTGCATCTTGGATGGCAGGTTGCTCTTGCTTGATGCGACGGGCAAAGCTTGATGGTTCGGCTTGTGCGGGCATCTTGCTGCGCCTCATCATGAGCAGAAGCTCCTGTAGCCTGTAACTTGGAGAAGAGTCTTGGAAGTGTTTAAAAGCAGGCCAGCCCCCTGGCTTCCGGTTCCATTGTACAGGACATGCCATTCTCTCCGTATGTTGCCGTGAAAGAAAAGGGTAGCCTAGACGGGATGCAGAATCCATAAATGCCGAGCGCGCCGCGGTCTTGATGTTCCTCAGGTTGTTATTTTCAAGGTGTGGGATGCCATGAACCGCCCGCGACATGCGATTCAACTTCGTAGAGCATAAACAAAGCCAGTGCCTACGTATTTGAGTCAGACGCCGTAGCACAGCTGCTTTGAGGTAGCCAAGATGGCCTCCATGCGTGTAAGATACTGCGCGATAGATTGAATTTAGCAGAGTATCGTGTGCTGACACGCGTGACAGCGATCGGCCGTGGCCTCAGCGAGAGTGAGAGCACAGATACTTGTAGTTCAGAATGCAAGCGGCCAACAACACTGCTCGAAACAAGAATGTTTAAGTCGCTACAGCATGCACCCAGGTATGCATGGTTCGGGCCTGCAGATTAGCAACGGCACTGACATACTGCTGCCCATGCCTTCCGGAAACCTGGCTGCCAACATCTCAGAATCTGGCTTCTGCAGCCTGTGCCCGTCATGCCCAGGAGCTTCTGAGCCCTCGAGATGTGTCCATCATCGGCAGCCCAGCTGCAGTTGTTGCGTCGTGATCTTGAGAGTTTGCTTCGAGGTTTGGGATGCTGCTCTCTCCGGAAGCTGAAAGTTTGCAAGCGTGTAGCACTTGAAAGCAGTTCAGGCCTGGCCGTTCTTGCGCTGAGTGCTGCGCTGCCACTCGGACACAGTGACGGGACAGTAGGTCCTTTTAAGGCCGGGACGCGGAGAGCCCTCGGGGTCGAAGGTTTTTGGGTTTCGTGATGTTTCGTGCCTAGAGGATCTCCAATCCAAGTCGCTCTGAGGCGGGAGCGCTGCTTCCAGCTTTCGTGAAGAGTTCCCGTGCTAGCCCTGAAATTTATGGCCTGGGGGTCGGGGAAGTTTTCATTTATGACCCGGCAGTGGACAGCACTGTTGCTGTACGCTTTCTTCCTTGGACCCAAAACGCATGGATCAGCGGCGATGTGTTCTGATCTGGCACAGTCGGCTTTGGGGGTCCGAAAGGGGCTGAGTTGGGGGATGTGGGGGGTTCTGGCGCAGGGAGGCATGCTGAGGTCGAAGTCTTGCCATCCCTGGAATACTCTGAAGATCCACCTATGTTCATGCGCAGACCCTACCATGCACCTCGCACCGCGAGCCCTGGCGTGTTGAGGCTTTTTGGTTTGGCAAGCCGCCAGCGCAGCCAGGCTTGTCGTGCTCGGTTTGGGCTTGCGGCGGGGCCTTTTGTGCATCGCAAAGCTCCGAGTATGAGCGCTTTTTGCCAGGAGGAGCTGCTAAGCTGGTCGCAGGAGCCATGGCAGGAAGCACGCTGCTCGGTGCACCAGGCCGGAATTTGCACAAAGATGGCGAAAGAACTTGGGCATATGTTCGAAGTCGTCCACATTCGTCTTCGAGTCTTCCATCGTCTTCTCATCCCCATTTGTCCAGTGGATGCCGTAGGTGGGGATTGCCTACACTGGCGACTGCAACTTGCCTCATGACGAGGAGGAGCCCTACGATTATGGCGCTTGGCCACCAGCTTCTTGGCAGAACTGAGCCGAAGCTTTGCTTGTGGGGGAGATCAGCAGCAACAAAGCTAGAGACGAGGTCAAGAAGAGCTCTCGAGCGGCTTAGCTTGCACGCGGTTTGGTTCCCCGATGGCGCGTTCGGCTGTTTCTAGGGCGGCTGCTCTTGCCAGTGACCGGTGCACTTGGTCGAGGAAGCACCGCGCCACCACTACTCCGAGTGCCCGCAGGCAGGGATGCCGGAGATCCAGGGCCCGTGTATCCTATGCTATGTCACCATACGATCAGAAGTGAATCATGAATCATAAGTATTAAGCGTCGCTGGCCGACTTCAGCACTGCAGGTGGGCTGGTCATGCGCGGTGGCTCGTCGATTGTAGGACTGGCACAGTTTCCGGTTTGCCTTTGGTGGGGAACAGTGCTCGAAAGGCTTGGCAGCTCTGGATTCCATCGCGTAGGGGTTTGCTGGGGGGGGGTGGTGCTTGAAGCATCGAATCCTTTCGCCTCCACTGAGGCAGAGGGCAAAGCTCCCGAAGCCGGCAATTTCTCGGCTGCTTCTTCCCGAGACACCCTCGGACCTGTCATGCCAAGGCGGGAGGGAGATGCGAGTGTCACGTGCTTGCGCATCTCACACTTGTTCATCAGGTACAACCTGGTGGTCTGTCGAAACAGACGCCTGCCACAAGATGGTAAAGTTGTGGAGCATGCGTGTTTCGATGCGGGTGTCCTATTGCCCTACTCGTCCTTGTCTGATCTTATCTGCCCTACGCTTGGCACTCCAAACAATGCCCCGTCGCATGGGGCACTGAGCACTGCATGGCGTCGTGTTGCCCTCTTAGGTTTCCTGCCCTGGGCCATGGTTCGTATCCAAACGGACGGTTCCTGGGCTTTGATTCCTAGATGGTATCGAGGGGCGAGAAGTGGCGACAGCTGATGTGCTGAGGCGTGCAAGCCAATGCCACACGGACGCCCTCTGAAAGATGAGACGGCTTTGGAACTTTGAAGACTTTGTGCCGTCAGCCAAAAGGTTTCTTTTGAAGCTGAGGAAAGTCTTTTGCGGCACGGCGCCAAGCTTGAGAACCAGGTGCTAGTAGAGCGTGTGATACACTCGCCAACAGCTGGCTTTCAGATGCTTTCAGCATCAAGTGGGTTTTAACAGCTGCAACTGAGGCTACGAAGCTGGCCTGCCGCAGTGGCCTGGGCCTCTTTGAATCTACGTTGTACAACTTTTCGAGGTCGGGGCCCAGTGACTGCCTAGGTCCCATGTGGGGAGCTTGCCAATAGCGCCAGGTACCCAAGAGTAATCCTGAGGCTGCTTGCTAAGGGTAGAGACACATGCCACCCCACTTCGCCACAAGGCAGAGATTCCTCGGAAGCTTTCCCCGGGAAGGACAGTGCGCAAACCTGTTTCCCAAGTCAAATGCCGAGCGGTCAAGCATCTAAGCTGAGCTGCAAGCAAGCACCACGTGGGGCCGAATTTTGGACAGGCTGATACAGTGGCCGTAGTAGGTAGCTCGGGCCTTCCCCCAGCTGCGCGGCGCAATGTCGGCAGCCAGTCCCAACGTGGTCCTGGCAGATGACAGGGAAGCGAAGCGCCTAGAGGTGCACAAGAAGACCCGGCTGTGCAAGTTCTTCACGATGGGTGCCTGCACACGTGGCGCGAGCTGTGCTTTTGCACATGGGCCCGACCAACTACGAGATCAGCCAGATTACTCGAAAACCCGGCTTTGCGCGGACTTCGTCGAACTGGGCAAGTGTGTGGAAGGCAAAGCCTGCAAGTTTGCCCACAGCAAGAGTGAACTACGACCCGGCTCAGCGGCCAAAGTGGGCAGGCCAGCCCGGACCTCAAACCATGCGGCCAAGCAAACTGAGAACGAAGCGGAACAAGCGATGCGGGTCCTGCAGACCTTGCGTGCGCAGCGCGCGCTGCACGAGCAGGCAGCTTTGAAACTCATGCTGCAGTCTGCCTGTGCCAGTGCGGCTGCGAAAGTCAGCAAGGCAACGTGCAAGGAACCCACGGAGAAGCCGACGGAGAAGGATGTGGAGTGTTGCTCCCAGGGCAACTCCTTCAGCCGCCAGACCACTTGGGAAGGCATGGAGACTGCGTCCGCGGGGTTCAGCCGCGACTCCTCCGCGGCCAGCGCCTCAGACAACATCGTGTCAGACAGCACCACATTGCCTGATCCTTGCGATGGCGTGGAGCTGCGTGTGAAGAACACCTTTCTCGAAGTCAAGGATGAGACGGAGCAGGAAACTGCTCCGCTGCGAAAAGTTCAGTCCTTGCCGCTTCTTGCTGGCGTGCCTTGAAATCACAAATGGCGACCAGGCGAGTAAGCGGTCTTTGGCTTGCCCTTTGCCCACCGACGTAAATATTCGTCCATGGAGCGGGGTAGTGAAAATTTAAGGCCGCGCGGCCCCGACCCACATCCCGCGTGTGGCAGCGGCTTGCAGCGCCAACTTTTTTGAAGTGGCCGTAGCTGTGTTAGAAGGCTCAAGGCACATGCTTTCGACTGGAGTGACTCCCGCCGCACGGCATCAGTATCTTGCCTCTAACTCAACCCAATCATGTTGTGGGCACCTATCCCGAGAAAGGCAGTCATTACTTGTTCCGTTGCGGAGATGCTCCTTTGCTAATTTGCGGTACAACATTCCCCTTTCCTAATCACGAATCCCCTGGGGGCTTGACCTTTGAGCACGGGGAGGCCAATCGTTATGGCCACAAAGCTAGAAGAAAGCACCGATGTGGGCAGTTTAGTGTTCCAACAGCAACTAAACAGCTCCGCAGGCTAGCCAGGGATTTCAATGGAAATGGATGAAAATGTATGCAAGAGCTTTCCTTGCGCTGCGCTGCTAGCTCTTTTCGACGGTGGCAGACATGTGCTGATTCATCATGATATCGTCGCTTTTGATGGACAGCGGGCAGCCAGCGGGTGACGGGCAGCTCGGGAAACGGCCCTTGCTGAGAGAGCCACAGAAACAGAGGGCTCTACCGACCCGTTTAGCATCTAGTTGTTCATCCAGAATTTTTGCATGGAGGAACAACTGGCAACAGCCAACCGACTTCAACTATTTAACCGTCTGACATGCCTTCGCGGGCACAGAACACGTTGCTATGCACTGACGCTCCTGTGGAAAAATCGCGATGACGCACAAGCCGGCTTAGGAACACAGATTGTGCAGAAGGCTGCAGCAGATTGACGCAATTTGACTCAGCCATCTGCAGGGCTAAGCCCAATAGGTGACGGTGGCCATAGTAGGCGTAGCTCGGGCCTTCCCCCAGCTGCGCGGCGCAATG